TAATATTATGCTGATGACAACCCAAACTTATTAATTTTATGCTGATGACAACCCAAAAAAACTTTTTTATGCTGATGACAGCCCAAACTTAATTTTATGCTGATGACAACCCAAACTTTTAGTATTATGCTGATGACAACCCAAAAATAATTTTATGCTGATGACAACCCAAACTTATTAATTTTATGCTGATGACAGCCCAAACTTATTAATATTATGCTGATGACAACCCAAACTTAATTTTATGCTAATGACAACCCAAACTTTTAGTATTATGCTGATGACAACCCGAAAATAATTTTATGCTGATGACAACCCAAACTTATTAATTTTATGCTGATGACAACCCAGACTTATTAATATTATGCTGACGACAACCCAAACTTTTATCATTATGCTGATGACTATTTTTTTGTTCATATACAGCTTAAAAGATATAGCGAACAAAAGCAATAACTTAAAAAGAGATTTAATTTAATTTGTTTTTGGGGAAAAAGATAACTGATTATTACTGATATATTTGCTATAAATCACATTACAGTATTTATTAAAAGAAATGAAATATTAATGTATATTCTCAGTAGTTTTAATTTGCTAAACCAGGTAGTTTTTCAAGTATTGTCTCTTATGTGAACTGGGGAAAAATATAATTTCCAGATTTATTTTTTCAGGTGGTAATTTTTATTTTCACTAAAAAATGTTAAGTATCAATGTAATCATTTATATAATGATAGATTAGTACACAATTGTATGTCAACACATTATTTATTACCTTAAACTGTTATTATTAAAGGGTTGCGCTTGCGTAAAATTTACTATCGTGGAAATTCAGCTTTTTTGCTTTTTTGCTAATCTCATCCCTGATAATGAAAGAAGGAGACTCCTTTACCTTGCTTGACTACTAATTTAAACCAATTAAATGATTTAAGATTGAATACACTCTGAAAAATAAAAATAGATGAAAGTTCCTGTTGTGAAAATAAAAGAATTGGATTTTTATTTTCTATTTGATCATGAAAGGCGACAATGACTGTATGTAATTAATTTCTAAATATTTAAATAAATGCATTGAGTTATATTCACAATTTGATAACATCCGTCAGATAAGTTTAAATTTTTTACTACTAACTATGGTATGAAACAACCCGATATTATTAAATACGTAAAAATAGAATGAATTTGAAGGCCCATGTGATTCGTATGAGTGGTGACAATACAATGAAAAAGATGCTGCTTTTTAAACCTACTGGAAGAAGAAAGCGGGGAAGGCTGCAGTTGAGATGCAATTAAAGAAAAGAATTTGAGATCAAATATAAATCGGAAGTCATTATGTAAACATCTTCAGAGGAAGGCATTGGCCCACATTGGGCTGTCTGGCCAACTATTATGATGATGAGCTATGGTATGACACCTACAGTGAGATCAAATAGAAGTCCTTCCTTTCTTAAAATCTAATAAGTTAATTATTTTTTGTATTTTTTTAAATTGATACTTTTTTATAAATTTAAATAAGTAAGTTTTTTGTTTTTGTGCTAATGATTTTTAAGATTTATTTTATGACAACAAAAAGTTGATGCTATAAGCAATTTACATGTATTAATACAACAGTAGAACTATTTTTCTTCTTTTGTTTATATTATATGAAAAAACTATTATGATTTTTAATTTTTTTGCCATTTAATTGAAATATCATCAAAAAACTGAGCTTCTCACTAAAAACCTTTGTTTTAGTAGTATTAAATAAATTATTTAAATTGAATTTGAAAATTTCTGACAACACTAATAAAAGCATATTTCAAAATGAAAAAATGTTTACATGATTTTTGAAATATTTTGTTGAACTTTTTTCTATTTGCAATCTCTCCCTGAAGAAATTTCTGCTGGTATCATTGGTTACTTGTACATCATGAATGTACATCATTTCAATTCACATTGTATTGTTATTAAAATTGCGTAGCTTAATTAAAGCAACTGCTTATGTTAAAATTTCAAATGTTTCAATCTAAGTATTAAAATGTCTTTAAAAACTATAATAATAAGTAGTTTAGTGTTTATTACGTGGCAGTGTGGTCCGGTTAATAGTGCTAAGAAGAATTTATTTTCGTTCCATTCTCATAAAAATAAAGGTTTTAAGCTCTATCAATAATACGTGTGTAGCATCTTTAAAAAGTGCTTAAAGGTGCTTATTTTTGATTTACAATTTTTAAAAGCCCTTAAAGATGCCTTTTTTTATTCGGGGTTTGTAAAAAGTGCTTCATTTTTTATCTTTTAAAAAGAGATTTTTTTTCTTTGCCGTGTAAATTGCCGTTCCGAATTACCAAAATGTATGATTTTCACAATTTTCTCTGCAATATTTATCAGAAACTAGTTATTTTTTCATGATTATGTAAAGTTTTTGAAAATTCTTTTGAATTTTATTGATTTAATGTTTATAAATTAAGAACTTTAAACAATAGAAAAAAAAATAATTTTTATTACTGCACAGATCCTAACTAGGATTTTTTTTTGGAAAGTGATTACAAGTATTCATTGAGTGCTTTAAAAGTACTTAAAAGGTGCTCATTTTTTGTTGAAAAATCTGGCTACACACCCTGATAATAGTTTTTCGTTTTCTTAAGGAAACGCATCACCAAGCTTTAATATTGGTTACCCTTCTATTAAATGACATATCTTATATTATAATAGTATCTAGAAATAATATCTTATAATAATACTTTAAGATTGTATATTCAAAATTTGATTTCTCAACAACTATTTGACTTTTGAATTTTGTATCTTGTCACTTAAAATTGGATACCTTAAAATGAAATAAGAATTTTTCATATCTCATAAAATGAAATTTTTTCACCTCTTACTTAATAAAATAATAAATAATTTTATTAATTTATGTTTTATTAAATATTTATTATAAAATAATAAATATTTTTATTAATTTGTATTTTATTAAGATTAACATTTGTTTTTCCATAGAATTTTCTTCAGATAATTGAATTTTATAGCAGTGAGCAAAACTTACCTAGTTCTCAAAATATGTGGAAATAAGCAGAAATTTAAATTCATAATAAGAGGTTCAAACTTTCGATAGCTCTTGAAACTATTGGGATCATATTTGTCAGATAACTTCTATATTTCGAGTTTCAGAAATCCAAATCCGCAAAAAAAGAAATAAAAAGATGCATATTTTTAATAATGATTAAAGATTATGAATTTCTTTTCAAATGCTTGGTTAACATAGTTTTTAATGACCAAATTCTTACATCCTATTCCCTTCGTTATTAATCGTTTCTAGAAATCAATGATTTTTTTTTTGATGCAAAGAGTACTAAAAAAAAAATTATAATTGCTTTGCATCGATAAAATAAATTTAGTTTTGTTGTTTGCGATTTGAAATTAAAAACTGCTTTCCATAAAATATCTTATCCTTTTTGATTAAAGAAAATATATACATATGTATTAATAATTATTTTTTTATAATTAGGTTTAAAAATGAAATGCAATTTTTTTTTCGATGCAGAAGCTAAATAAATAGACATATTTAGAATATTTTTATTCTTAAAAATTATTATTTTTAATTACAGAATTGTATTATTCCCGAGTGAAATATATTTTTTTTTATTGTTATTTATCAAGATTAAATGGCTCTTGTGTAATATATACATTATATAAAAGGGCTTTGAGCCGCAATGGCTCAGCGGTTAAAGCATCATACTAAGCTGTCATTGCGAAGAACTGCGGTTTAATTCCCCATGGCTAGCTTCAAATGGCATTTTTAAGCCCACCTAGCTTTGAATAAAATGGTACTGGCTTGTCTGGAAAGTAAAGCAACATGTGAGCAATACTGAACACATTGTTTGTTGGTCATGAAATTGTATAGCCTCCCGAAACCTGGCCCATAATAGGCTGTTGTACGAATCCATTACTTTTATGAGAGGATTGTGTCGGCTTGGGATGGAACCTTTAAAGCATATAACTCAAGTCCCACATAGTCAATTCATATATTACTTCTAAAGAATTAAAATTCATAAAAAATGATTAAAATTCATTGGTCAAAAAAAATTTTTTTTGTTGAGGATAATCAATTCATTTGGGGTTCATTATTTGCTAAATATTGGTTTTTGCTTACATTTGTTTGCAGAGGAGAAGAAAAATTTATTAAATCTAAAAATTCAACAAAAGCATGTTTGATGGGTGTCCAACTATTCATGTTTTTTTATATTTTTTTTATATTTTTTTTTTATTCAAGAGACAAGGAGATGACAATTATTTTCCTACATCTGCTTCTGTTGTTCATTACTTTTATTTGTTTAGACAATTTTGGCATTTTACAAGTGTAATGTATATTTATAAACTTTTTATGGTGTAATAGATGTTTTTTTTTGTTTTTAGGGAGAGTTTAGCATTTGCTACTGAGGCAGTGTTTGCAAGTTTGGCAAATATACTTGGTTATCAAGAAAATATGCCTGTTCCTCCTCCAAAGGCTCTCAAAGATTTTGAGCTCTTTGACTTAGAAATAAAATATGGAATTCTACAGGTATTTTTTAAATGCATATTAACTTTGAGTTAAGACAGACCACTTACATGTATCTAATATGCCAAAAGTTGTTGAGGTTAGCGAATGGTGGTGCATCCCCTGGAGTTCAAGGGCACAGGAGAAAAAACCCTCAGGTTTATTTGGGCAAAACTAAAACAAAACTTTAACATCTTTCTTTTGTTATTAATAGCTGAAGGGGAAAATTAGAATAATTCTGAGTATTAAATCACATCATTGCTTTTCGTTGCAGATGTTTGATGAATTCTAATTGAAACAGGGTGTGTAGCATTTTTAAAAAGTGCTTAAAGGTGCTAATTTTTGATTTTTGTTTTTTGAAAGCCCTTAAAGGTGCTTTTTTCATTGGGTGTATTTTAAAAGTGATTCATTTTCCCTTATCGAAAGAGAGCATTTTTTTTTTAGCCGTGTCGATTTTCGCCACATATTATAGAAAAGCGTGCTTTTCACATTGTTCTTTTCAACATTAACACAATTCATTCCACCGCAATCCATTGCAACTGTCGGTCCGTAGTGTACGAGAGCACCAATCGTTTTACATGTTTGATGAAATACTTGCGAGTTCGCATGTGCGTTTACTGAGCTGGGTTTGGTGGGATTATTGCACTCTCGTGTGCACTTCTGCTGCATTTTGCAAGATATATACTCCATTTCAGGCTTCATTGTCCACCCTCTGCTATTGAACCGAGAAATATCTTAATCTTTTTATAGTGGATAATATAATCAAGAAAAAGAGTTCTTTGTTAGAAACTAATTATTTTATCATGATTAAAAAAAGTCTTAAAAAAATTATTTTGCATTTTGTTAATGTATATGTTGCTTGAACATATTTTTTGAGTGCTTAAAAAGTACTTAAAAGGTGCTTACTTTTTGTTGAAAGATTTGGGTAAACACCATGTAAAAGCTTTGATTGTTTAAAAATTACTCTTCTTGATGTGAAATTTTGTTTTGTATATCAATATTATGAATAAACTAAAAATAATGTGAATATTAATAAAGTGGAGCACCAATTAACCGGGACCATCGCTATCCCGAATGTCTGAATTTCCCGGTTTTCTGGATCGGCCAAAAGTGCCATTAATCGATGTTTTATCAAACCCAAATTACAAGAAAAAAATAAAACACATTTTAAAATAAGAAAAAAACGAAAAGATCTAAATTAAAAAAAATAATTGGTAGAAAAATAACATTTAAAAGGATAAAAACATTTGTAAGTCTAGACAAGAAAAACAAGTTCAAAAGATACAAAATTCGCACATTTATTTTTTGATGATACATCCCCAAATTAACTATTATAAAACAAAACCAATAGTTAAAAAACGCAATATATTTCGTACCTAATTAATTATATGGGCAGGATCTGTGAAAGGAAGACTTATTAATCTAAATAAAAACAACACTTGAAAATTATCGCACGGAAACGATATTTAAAAAAGGCACTAACATAAATATTAAAGCCTGAAACAAGGCAGGATATTATAAGATCAACAGAATTAAAAAAAAAACAACTTAATGATAAAATTTATGAATAAAAAGAATTTATTGAGTACGAAATTTATCTTTAAAAAAAAAAAAAAAAACTCAAACGTAGTGGAACAGAATCAAAATTGAAAAAAGAATTGAATTGCTGTCTGCTTCATAAAATAATCGTCTGTTTTTATTAATAAATAATTATATGCTTAAATTAATAAAAAATCTTCTCCTTTTATTTTTTATAAAAATACTATTTTTAACAAAAGCAAATGTGATTCCACATCAAGAAAAACTTGCTAATGATATTGCATTTCTAAAAAATCTAAATTTATTCAACAAAAAAAAAATACTGTTTTGTTAATTGATGTCAAATAGATGAATATAACTGATGATTAAAAAATGTTTTGTTCGTAATAAATAATGCATTATCCGAAATAATAAAGCAATTCATCATAATAAATCAAGGAAAGCAAAAACTGAGTAACTAAAGTGAATTTAAAATAAATCTCACAAGTCAATACTCTTAGCCAGAAGTTCCTTAACTTGGATATTCATTGATATGCATGTGCAATGCATTTCCCCCTGGGGAATCAAAGAGGAAACGAAATCAGCATGCCACTCCTTTAAGTTTGATTGATGGCAGCTTATCAGAAAAACAACACACACACAGGAGAAAATGAAGCATTTGTCCCTTCCCTGCCCCCTCTGGATCTTCAAGGTCAGGGGAAGAATTTAATTTTCTCTGTGCAAAGGAGGAGAAGAATTCCCCCCCTTTCCCTCTACTCAACTTCAAGGATGAGTCAAATTTCTGCTTTTTTTTTTGTAATCGTTATACTTCAAAATAGCGAGAAAAACCAAGCAAAATTCTTTCTGGTTTCCCGGTTTTCTGGATACCGGATAAATGGTTCTCTACTGTAGTTGGATATAGAGTTTGAGAATTTATATTTTAAATAAGGACTTCCTTTTAGTAAATTCTTTATTTTGTTTACAAATTCTTTATTTTGTTTACCAATGTACAATGTATAAATACTATAAAAGTAATGTCAATGTTGATAGATGATTAAAGATTTTGGGAATTAATACTTTAAATAAAGACCAGGGACCTAGAACTGCAATTTCAAAAGTCTAAGGAATCACTGCTTTGGTTTACAAAAATCAATTGAAATTTATAAATTTTGTTAAAAATCAAAATTTCTACTTGAAACAAATTAAAATATGTTTCATTTATAGTGTTTTTATTTATTAAAATTGTGTTTCATTTTTTTTTTTTTAAATATGCTTGTAAAGATGTCAACTACAGATTTTTTTTAGTGTATTTGTGTGCTCTGTTTCTTTAAAAAAGAAAGATCTAGTCAGTTTATGATCAGTTTTCTTATTTTAATGCAGATAACTGAAGGGTTAGCTTTCTTGCACAATGATGTGAAAATGATGCATGGCAATATAAATCCTGAGTCTGTCTTGATTAATCTTAATGGAGCTTGGAAAATTGCTGGATTTGATTTTTGTATGCAGTTTGCTAATTCTTCTGAATTTCGGGTGTGTGTTACACTTTTTAATGATTAGATGTTTTTCAACCTTTGGTGCAAAGTTGTATAAATGTGCTGTAAAAACTATTCAAAATGTCATTTCCAATGATAATTTATTTTGTAAAATAACTATCTTTTTATAATATTTTAAGTTCTCTGAATGCTTTTTTTTGAAGACCTCCCAAATTAATACCAATAATTCAGAATGAAATTGAATGTTATGAGATTATTAAAAACGTTTATTTCAGAAAACAAATATATTTAGATATTTCCTTCCTTTTACATTTATTTTTATTTAGATGTTTCCTTCCTTCTAATTTTATTTATATTTTTTTATCCCAGCACAAATTTTAAAAAAAAATTAGCTTTTACTCAGTACAAGTATAAAATTTTATGCAATCAAGAAAAATCTAATATTACCATTGCTTAATGAGATGAAACTGAGTTTAAAAAATGATTAAAGCTTTATTTACAAAAAAAAAGTCAGCACCAGCTGATATTTTATTGACATTTAATGCTCCATTTTGGCCTATAATTGCAGCCCTTTCTTTAAAATAATATTCCTACTTTTGTTGTTTTCTATTTTTACCAACATTTTGCATATTTTAAAGAAAAATTAAAATTTTTAAAAGGTGATATTTATATCAGAGTTACCAGTTATTTACATTATACACTCTCTATGATATATATTTTTTCTATTATAAACTTATTATTACCCGTATAGAAATTTTTCAATATTTATGTGTTTATAAAAATGTCTTATGTGAATTAATGTTGAAGAAAACTCTTGTTTGCATTAAAGTTTTCTGTCCTTTTTATTTTCTTATTCTGTAAGACTATTATTACGGGTCATTCTCACAGATAGGGGTGGAATTTCTAATAAATAAAACTTATTTTCAAATATATTAAGTCAGAAATTAAGGAAAAAAAAAAAAACGTAAATTAGCTTGATAACATTGAATTGATATGTAATGAAAACTTCATAAGTCAATAAAAGGAGGAGGGGACATTTAACTAATATTCATAACAAAAAGTTGGATAAATAATAATTTTTTTTCCAAATGTAAGTATAAAAATGTATTGAAAAGTTTTTTTCAATGAATCAAATAAATATTTCAGAATATCTACATCACTTTTCAATGTTTAATTGCTAAAATAAGATTTTTGTGGTACCAGCTTTTATTAATTTGGCAGCTTCTGAGTTATGAATATCTATACTTGCTGTAAACAATGAAATAGTAATGAATCTTTAAATACATTTTTTGTCATTGCTATTGTAAATGTGGGTGCACTCTAATAAGGGACTTTTGATTATTTGTTATTCTCATTTATTCTACATGTAATTTTTTAATAATTTGAACTTTAAAATGGTTTTTTAACTGTGTTCAATGGAATGAAATATGAAGAAAATGAAGATAAAACAAAGGAAAATTATAGACATGTGAAAAAGGGGGAGGGGAAATAATAATGAAAAAAAACAAACAAACAAACAACTGCAAAAAAAGAGAGGATGAAATTTTTTAAAAAAATCTGGAAAATAAAAGATATAATCATTTCATCAGCCCACACGATTATATCCTCAAAAAAGAGTGCTTTCTGATATTGTATCAATATAGCCAAAGCAAAATGTATTAATACAATAGTGTGAGAAGCACTAAAAAAAAAATTTATTTTTACAAAAATTACAACAAATAAAATAGAACACAATAAGTAAAAATAACACGTAAAAACAGAAAATAAAATTAAAATAAAAAACAGTATAAAACAATATCTATAAAGCGAGTAGCGAAATCAGATGTACTTACATGAACGGGAAATTTTTAAAGAATGATATAAAAATGTTTTCGCAACAAGATTGCCTGATTACAAAATATGAAAACAAAAGCGCAAATTGAGTGTGACTAGAGGAGTTTAGTTTTAGAGTGCCGTTCTTACTGCATTGCTGAAGTGATTTGTTATGCTTTCTTATGCTCTTCATGTTTTCTTGTATTTATTTATTTTGTTGTCTGTCTGTGTGTGTGTGTGTGTGCGTGCGTGTGTTTGTTTGTGTTTATTTGTGTTAAAAATATGGAAAATATTAAAGATTCATGAAAATTGAAGAAGAAAAATTATTAAAATAAAATATTTAAAACAATTATATTAAAAGGCCGGAAAACAAAAAAATTATCTCTTCATCAGCTCACATTATGCAAAAAAGAGTACTTTCTAATAATCTTTTCATTTTTTGTTTTCTGGCTTTTTACTTTATATTTTTAAATTTTTTTATAAAAATATTTTATTTTAATAATTTTTCTTCTACTCATTTCATTAATCTTTAATATTTTCTCTACATTTTTGACTTATTTTATGAGTTCTATTTACTTGCAGCTTATGCGTAGTAAATAAAACTCATTTATTCTCTTTGTTTTTCTAATTTTACTTTCAATCTTTATTGTGCTATATGTAAGTAACATGATATTAGGCCATTGTGATATAAAATGTGTATTCAACAGAGTGATGGTGACATTAACATTGACCTTCCTCCTCCGTGTCATCCTCACCTTGATTATGTTGCTCCTGAACGTATATTGGGAAGCTCTCACAGTTTTGCAGGTGACATGTTTTCTTTGGGAGTCTTATTTTATGCTGTTCACAATAACGGAAAGTCTCTGATGATGAATTCAGGGAGCAGCATGAGCACTATGAAACACAATTTTAATCAAGTAAGTCCTCATAAATTATTTATTTTGCAGATTATCATAATAAAACTTATGTTTTGTAATTAGAGTCAAACCCCCACTATAGTGAACCTTCAAGGGGCCGAAATTTCGGTTCACTATATCCGTTCCTCAGACTAACGGTTTCCTCCTTTTATGACACATTATTTAAATAAATGACTGAAAAATAATGTGCAGTACCAAGAAATGCGTTAGCTTTTATTTTTATTGCAAATATCGACTTGATGGCATCCATTTTCAATTTTTCTGTTTATGACAATTTTATCTTCAATGACGAACGTTTTACGCTTACTGCTCGCCATAGTTTAATTTGGGAGACTTAATTACAGGATTCTGTAATTGAACTGAGTGTAAAAACGAATTGAAAGGAGGGCCTAATCATCACAGATTAATCTCCAACCCTTTGACCATTCATGAGTAACTACGCGCTCTCGCTGATAGGAAATAAATATTGACCCCACTGGCCCCTTTCAGGTACAACATCTGCTGGTATTGGCGAACAAGCAAACAAGAAAAAATGCTTATTGCTATATTCCATCCTATATATGGTTTTAAAAATCGGTATATGTATTTGTTTTGAAGTAGACATTTCAAAATTATATAAAAAAAATGAAATGAAAAAATTAGTCAAAGACTGAAAAAAGTTCATAATATCCAATTTCCTCTCTTTTTTTTTTTTGTTCACTCAAGGCACGGGACCGAACTTTTCGTTCACTATATCCGGGAGCTCATTATAAACCATGTTCAATATAGCATGGTTTGACTGTATAAATGAAAATATCTCTGATGTGAAGTATTAAAGCTTGCAATTTGTGTTGAATTAAAATATCCTCCATGCAATTTCCATAGTATTTTTTAAAAAAAAAATTTTTTTTTCCTAGTGATAGCGAAGGAAATTTATTAATATTTTAAATAGTATTGTATGAATTTTGCTCATCATTTACAAACGATTTTCGTCAGATGTATCAAAGTACTGAAAAATTCTTTTTGTTCTAAAATATTCTGCTTCTATTTAATAATACTTGGAAGAAAATATTTTGAACATACTTCAAAAGTTGAAGGATATGCACATGGTTTTTAAAAAGTTCTTAAAGCTGCTTATTTTTGATTTTCGTTTTTTAAAAGTCCTTAAAGGTGCTTTATTTCATTGGGTGTTTTTAAAAAGTGCTTAATTTTCCATTTTCGAAAATGAGATTTTTTTCTCTTCACCATGTAGATTTTCGCCACATATTATGCAAAAGCGTGCTTTTCACATTCTTCTATTCAATGTTTTCACAATTCATTCAATCACAATCCATTTCATCATACCTTTGGTTCATAGCGTATGAAAACGCCAATTATTTTACGTGTTTGATGAAATACTGGCGAGTCTGCATGTGTGTCTACTTAGCTGGAATCAGTGAGATTATTGCACTCTGCTGCATTTTGCAAGATATATATCCCATTTCGGACTTCAGTACTTCAAGTGTTGGAAGGATATGCAGTTAATAAAAAAGATGTCCATCAGGAGTTTGTTTTTGTATTTAAAAAAACTGGATGATTACATTTCAAAATATTTATTTTTTACTTTATTTAAAGATAAATATATTTTTATTTATTAGGTTAAAAAAAATCCTCGATTTCAATTAATAATATTTCTAGTGTATTTAATTATTGTTATTTAATTAATATAAATATGTTCATAAATTTTGCAATTTTATATTAATTAAAAAAGAATTGTTAACTACTTACATTAGACCATATTGAAAATATTATGAAAGTTTGATAATATTCAAAGCAGTTTTATTAAAATTGAGCTCTTCTGGCTTTTGATGGAATTTTCAACTTTCCAGAGAAAAAAAAACTGATAAACTCTTTTTTATTTTTATGTTAAATGTTTTTTTTTAAATTTATTTTTGTAATATTTCTACATGGTTTTGTTGTTTTAGTTTATCATTATTTTATTCTCTTTAAGAGTGCTTTATATAGTTTTGTTCTTAACAGTTAGTTGGGTTGTCAATGTGCATGGTAAAAAAAAAAGAACTTTTAAATGTTTTCTTTTCTGAAAAATAAATCCAAACGTTCTTTTGTTCATTTTTTTCAAGATTTGAGTTGTTAGTTATTTTCAGACTTTTTTGTTCATTTCTCAGTCCCATTTCTGAAAAAAAAAACAAAAAAAAAACAATAGCTCTTAAAAAAAAAAACAACATAAAATTATGAATTTAATAAAAATATATTGAAATAATATTTTCGGGACTAAAACAAGTTCTAAATTTCATTTTACTTCATCATTAACTCTTTATGTAAAAACAATACAAGTTATGCTGTTTAGTGAATCAAATTACACTTTGCTGATTTTTTTGTTTCCTTTATTAAATTGACTAATAAGTAAAACCAATTTTTTTTGTTGCTAGTTTTTTTCTTTTATACCAAGTAAATTATAAAATACCTTGTATGGAAGTGAATATTTTCTAGTATATAGCTTATATATATATATATCATATTTTTCATTCAAAAATTACTTCATTACATTAATGAGCTTCGGTACGTAATTTTTGTATGCTTATTTTGAAACTGTCTCTTTCCTTTATTAACATTACACTTTTGAACTAACAATTTATTTTTCCTCATTTAATATGTACTAATTCTAGTTTATTATTATTTTAGCTGAAAGCGCTCTCCCCTTCTACGTTTACTAATTTGCCTGCCGAAAGCAGAGATCACGTGAAAATGCTTCTCAATTATACGGCCGAGTTGAGACCGGATGCTTTTCAAACATCCAAAGTAACTCATCCATTGGATTGCTGTTTATTTTTCTTCAAATGTATGATATATTTTAATTCTTGTTCAATTTCAGCTCTCTATGTTTGAAGATGTGGGAGTGAAAACTCTTCAGTATTTGGATTCACTCTTCCAATGGGATAACTTACAAAAATCTCAGTTTTATAAAGGCTTGCCTCAGATCATTCAGAAAATGCCAAAGGTCTCAACCTTTTTAATCATATTTATTCATTTTTTTTTAAAAAACAAAACTAGTTAGAGGAAACTTAAAAAGAAATGCTTCCATTGTAATAGATTACAAGTCTTTATTAATGAACTAATAATTTTTTTCTACCAGAAATCATTTTAACACTAAACATACCATCACTTAGTAAATGCCTATTTCTACCATAGCCGGTCAAATGACAGGACTTTAATTCCAACTGAAAGCCATGCTCCTCATTCCCCCCCCCCCCCGACGTACCGATTCTATCATAATGTACCCATCATGATAGAATGGGTACATCAAGACGAAACAGTACTACATATACATGGTGCTTAGAGTTTTTAGAAATGCTTAAAGGTACTTATCTCTGATTTTCAATTTTTAAAAGCCCTTAAAGGTGCTTTTTTCATTAGGTGTTTTTCAAAAGTGCTTAATTTTCCCTTTTTAAAAATGATATTTTTTCTTTACCATGTCAATTTTCGCCACGTATTATGTAAAACCGTGCTTTTCACATTGTTCTATTCAACGTTTTCACAATTCATTCAACCACAATCCATTTCGGCTTACCGTCGATCCATAGCGTATGAAAGCGCCCATCATTTTACATGTTCAATGAAATACTTGGGAGTCCGTATTTGCGTCTCCTGAGCTGCATTCGGAGAGATTCTTGCACTCTCGTGTACAACTCTGCTGCATTTTCAAGATATCAAAACGAAAAATCTCTCGATCATTTTTTAATGACTAATATAATCAAGAAAAGAGTTCTTTGTCAGAAACTATTTATTTTATCATGATCATGTTAATTCTTTGAAAATTATTTTGCATTTTATTAATGTATAGAGTGCTTAAAAATATTTTTCGAGTGCTTAAAAAGTGCTAATTTTTTGGTGAAAGATTTGGCTTTGCACCCTGATGTAGTTTCTAAGAAAACTAATAGAAGTTGGGAGGAAGATAAGGTCAGCTTTGAGGAGCAATAATACGAGGATTTTGCCCCATGACAACGCCTGGTGCATATTGCCTTCTCTGTGGAAAAGTATTTTGCGGAAAAAAGTTTCACTATGCTGGAGCATCTGCCTTACTCACCAGATCTCGCACCATGCAACTACTATCTGTTTTCAAAAGTGCATTGAAAGAAGGAAGTGGCAGAAAAGGCAGACTTTCTGAAACACACCTGCAGCACTGCTTTGAATAGTGAGGCGATGTATGTATAGGTAAAGAGAGTTTGTTGAGTATTTAATTATCACACTAGTGTTAGTCACAAAAACTGAAAATTTCAATCTATGGTAAATTTCATTTTGGAATGAAATGGCCGTAAAATTTGATTGCATGGATCAGAATGAAACATGTATATGCCATCAAGAGAAAAAGATTTGATTATTTTAAAGTAGTTGTAAATGATCATAATTTTCATTGAAAGATTCCAAACTCACCTACATAAAGCGAATGGAAAAAAAAGTCATAAAAAGCTAGGCATGTTTAATGATAATCTGAGTAAATTAAGATTGAGCAGTGTACAATACTTATTTTAATGTGTAATTATTGATAAACTGGAAATTTTTAATAAATGTATTATAAAAAAAAATGACTATGCATTTGCCTAGTTTAAAAAAAATGACCTTCTTCCTTTCCAGAGAGTTAACCTTCATCGTGTAATACCATGCCTTGTTAAAGAATATCCTACTCCAGAGATGGTACCGTTTGTTCTGCCTAATGTTCTTCTCATCGCTGAAGACGTGTCTAAAGAGGAGTTTCAGACGTACATTTTACAAGACTTGATACCTCTCTTCAGACTTCAAGAACCTGTACAGGTAAAGAACGCATTAAATCTTGTCCATTATAACGATTTTTAGGATTGAGAAACATATTAATAGTCAAACATTTATTTGTCCAAATTGAGATGGAAAAAGATTTTCCAGTATTTTAAAAAAAAAATTTCTGTGCTTCTATTTTTGGGTAGTAGTACTCCTCATGGCTCATGGTGCGTAGCATTTTTAAAAGGTACTTATTTTCGATTTTCATTTTTAAAGGCCCATAAAGGTGCTTATTACATTGGGTGTTTTTTAAAAGTGCTTAACTTTCCATTTTTGGAAATGAGGTTTTTTTCTTCTTTACAATGTCAATTTTCGCTATGTATTATGCAAAAGCGTGGTTTTCACATTGTTCTATTCAACGTTTTCACAATTCAATCAAACGCAATGTATGTAGGCAGTCTGTAGCGTTTGAAAACGCCAATCGTTGTACTTGTTTGATGAAATACTTGCGGGTCCACATGTGCGTCTACTGAGCTGGGTTTGATGAAATTCTTGCACTCTCATGTGCAACTCTGCTGCATTTTGCAAGATATTTTCAATTTCAAGCTTCATTTTCCACCCTCTGATATAGAACCGAAAAATCTCTCGATTATTTTATAATAGCTAATATAAAAGAAAAGTGTTCTTAGTCAGAAACTAGTTATTTTATCATGATTATGTAAAGTCTTTAAAAATTATTTTTCATTTTGTTAATGTATAGCGTGCTTAAAATATTTTTTAGTGCTTAAAAAGCACTTAAAGGGTGCTTATATTTTGTTAAAAGATTTGGCTATGCACCCTGGTACGTTATTTAGCACTAGAGCAGCACAATGGGCTATTGGAGATGGTGTAGAAAACATCCCCGAGGATGATATGACGACGTACCCTCACGATTTTACTCATCTGCAGAAGAGGTGGCTCTCCCCTTTGGTTGCCCAACAACCTTTGTGTGAATTTAAGCTCTTTATGGTGGAATAGTTTAACGAGGAGCAATAAGGATCCTCCACAAGCTTATTAAAGTAGTCTGACCGTTGACAGTGATGCTTGATTTCATCATTTTATTGGGCACTGTGTCTTTCACTTTCAAGACAAGTAAGGGTCTGAGAAAAATAAAATAATTGAACATGAAAATTTCAATGGAAACCAAATGCAATTGAGATTGTACATATATACAATGTAAGTGCACAATAATTATGGGAAGGAAAAAAAAAACAAATTTTGTTAAAAGCTGGTTACTCCTAATATGAATATTTTCTGTTTCATTTTTGTAATGAAATTATTCGGTCAAATTAGTTTGGTCCATTTTTTGTGTGGTCAAAAATGCATTTATTTCAGAACAAAATGTATGAACAGATTAACCAAAGTTTTGTCCATTGCTGGCTACTACTTTTTCCCACCTCTCAGGCAATTTTCGAATTCCATCTCGAATAAATGTCTCATCTTTTGAGGCGATCCAAGTTAGGAGCCTATTTTTGATTACTGTTAAAGAAGTGAACCGATGACCTGCAAATCATGCTGCACTATCGGAAGGAGCAATGTCGGATGCAGAAGGAGAACATGGCGGATGCAGTAAAATATCCCACTTGAGCATTTCCAAATGATTTTTTACAACTTTGGCGACATGATGCCGAGCGTTATCATGCAGAAGAATAACTTTGTCATGTCTTTGCTCGTATTCCGGTCGTTTTCTTCATAATGCACGATTCAAACGAATCAATTGTAGCCTATACCAATCGCCATAATGGAATCGCCAGGTTGTAGCAGCTCATAGTATATAACACCCTTTTGGTCCCACCAGATACACAGCATGGCCTTCGAACCATGAATATTTGGTTTTGGTGTTGATGTTGAGGTCGATGTCAATGATTGCCCGGGCATAGCGTAGTATTGTTTCTTCTTGGTGTTGTCGTAGAATATCCATTTCTTATCTCCAGTCACAATCCCATGTAAAAAAACTTTCTTTGTTGCATTTGAATTGGCTGCTTTCAACGTCGCTCGGTTTCAGTTCATAAGGCACCCAATTGCCTTGCTTATGAATCATTTCAATCGTATGAAAAGGGCTTGCTGCTTAACTCCGAATGATTCTACAACCTCCTCATCTGTCAGATCTTCATCAAGTAATGCCTCCAATTCTTCGAATTTTTTTGGCTGTCCAGAGCGAGGCTTGTCTTCAACGTTCTTGAAACATCAAAACCATTCCCTACAGTATTTATCAGTTGCAGCATTGTCACTATAAACTTCTACAAGCATTTGATGCGCTTTTCTTACAATTGAATTAAAGCAGAAACAAAAAACCTCCCGCAAATGCTGCTTAGTTATCACAAAATATGACATATTCAACAAAGTAAAAAACAGGGTTTTTGTATAAAATTCTGAACTCTGAAATATAAACTGAATATTATTGACAGATGCCTAACCTCTCTGAAACCACTGAAACCAGCTGTTACTATGAAACATTCATAACAGCCAGAGCCATCTTTTGAAAACGGACTAAACAAATTCGTACTCCCAATAATAATAACTATTAAAAGTGATAACTACCAAACGCCCTGTACACATATTAAATTTTATGAAAAGACAGTTAACATATTTTATTATTCTCATCAAAAATTATTTTATCCGTAATTATTATAGATTATCATTAACACATGATTTTGAAAACTGAAGTAGTAAAATAAAATAAAAATTTTCCTTCAAAATTTACATTTAAAATTAATTTTAATTCATAATTTAAATTAATGTGAATATTTGTTAACAATTGCCCAAACCTTTTAAGTTCTTAAATATTAATGTGCCACGGGGCATTGCAGCTTTTTTATTAATAAATTGCTAAACCAAAATATTTAACATCTTTTATGTACTATTGCTTTATGCTTACTATGTATTATGCTTTCATAAACTATTGGACTGTTTTAATTTCATAAAAATTGCTTTCACTTTACATTTGAATAACCAACTCACTTTAATTTTGAAGCAGAAAGTGTAAGTAGTTTTTATTTCATAAAATTTACTTACACATTACACCTAATACTTCACTTTTCCATTCCACGAAATTTAACTTGCAATTGCAGTTCTTATTATCTTTTCAAACAAGTCTAAAAACTAATTGCGTTTTTAATTTTTATAGATTAATATTGTTTTGAGCATTTCTTATTCAGTATTTCCAAAAAAGGACAATTCTTTGAAAGTATTGTGAAATGCTTGATGAATTTTCAAATATTATTTGTCTGAAAATTTGAATGATTTTTTATTTTTATTTTAAACTTTTCATTTTAGATTACGTTAATTTTTATGCAAAAGATGGAATTACTTTTATCTAAATGTTCCAAGCCTGTTATTACGAACCATGTACTGCCAATGATATACAAAGCACTTGAATCTGATGCCCAGCAAATACAGGTATTCATTTAAAATTACTATGATATACTTTAGTCACTATTAGTGCTGAATTTTTAAGTGTTATGTATTGTTATTTTTTTAAATTTGTAAAACATGGCACTTTTTGCTAACTAGCTTATATTAGTAATTTTCATTGTCTTTCAAAATATTGTCTTCACTGGTTTGATGGCCCTGGGTGGGCACTGGCCTTCTTTAGAATTTTATTCCTATTTTTGCGCAAGGTTTTCCAGTTTGTTATTCTAATAGTTTTATGGTCTTTTCTAGATGATTAATCCATCTAGGTTTTTTTTCTTCTTTTTCCTGTACCAGGTGGTTTGGTCAAGGAGATCTTAGTGGCTCAACCATCATCCAAACTTATTGGGTGACCTGCAATTTAAACGTGTGTATAGCAATACGTTTAATGATTTCTGGCTCTTTAAGTAGTTTATAGATTCCCAAATTTGTTGTTCTGCTCCAAATATTGTCACGCTTTAATCTCCAAAAAGTACTTCTCAATATTTTTCTTTAAAGTGTAGTAGTGAGTATCCAAGGAAATCTTAGTGGCCTTACTTTATAGTAATGGATTTTGATATCGAATTTTCTAGTCTTTTTCAATGATTTTATTTTATTTTATAACTGTCATTGAACAGTCGACCCAATTTTTGGGTTTACGACTACTGATGTTCAACTCCGTAGCCTTGTCATTTTGAACCCAATCCAGAAGACAAGGGAGCTCCTGGTTCAACTATTGAGAGAAATGTGCCTTCGTGGAGGGCTTTTTGATGGAGCTAACCCGCATTTGTGTTACATGGAGTGGAAGACCACGAGAACCTCCATGACAAAGGGACTCTAACCCCATGATATGTCTACCACTGAGGATATTTCACGTCTGCACTGTGGTCGGTGCAAGCCGGCTGCGGAATTCGTATTGACTGGGATAAGAAACCAGTTCACCTTATTGGAAGGCGGATGCTCTATCCCCTGAGCCAACGCAGCTCTTTTTCAATTATTTCTTGAAGATCTGTTCTTTTGTTAATCTTCAGTTACTGAGGTTGCACTATGTAAACATATGCCACCTATCTGTTGAATTGCAAAATATTGCATTAAAAGATTATACGGAAAAAGGAATTTATGGATATTTATGTAACTATATAAGATACTGTTTTAAAAAATATTCTCTTTCAAAATATGCTATTTTTTTTATCTGATTCTTTGGCAATTAATGTATAAGTTAGTATTTGTTAGGTTATCTATGTGGAAAGAGCCAAATATAAAGTGATTTTTCCTGAGACCGTTGATCTGGGAACTTCTGCAAATCAAAAATGACTATTTTCACAGAAAATTTAAATTTTGTTAATGAGACATTTATTCCTCATTTATCCTTTTTTCCCCCCATACGTGTGGGCAATAACAATTTTTTTAAGGAGATTTGTAAGAGTTAAACTGAATTAGGGATATACTTCAAGAAAGAAAAATTTCGTAATAACTGCCAGAATTAATAAATTGATGTGGCAAAAGTATAAAATTGATTATCAAGCAAATAGTTTCGATCCTTCCCAATAAAAAATTTTTTTCTTTTCCTCAAACTGATATTTTAATAGGCGTATTTTGTTACAAATTCTGATTCGCTGTGGTACATTTACTTTTTTTATTACCCTCTGCTTCACTATTTCAGAAATGAAGAACCGAACTTTATGGAGGTATTTAAATTTTTCACCTCATCAAAGATATGTAAAACAAGAAAATTGACTTGAACCTAAAATAGCTATAAACGTCCCCCTCCCTCTAATGATGAGACAAAATATCGTTCTGCTCATTTTATTAATTTTCTGACATTTCTGTGTCCATCTGCCCAAATGCAGTTTTCTGTTCGTTAACTTTGTCATATAGCTGCGAAAAATTCATATCCTTACTAACATAAGCGCGAAATTCAGCTAAATTTTCGCACAATGATACATCACTTAAGCCAATCATTAGTCTGTATTTTTGTAAACATATCACATTTTGCGATATGTAAAAAAAAAAAAACTTTTGATTGGCCAAATGTGTTCATTGTAATTGCAAAAATTTGGCTGAATTCTGCAATAGAAGGACATGGATTTACAAAATAGATTTTTTGTGTTCATGCGATAGATTAATGAAGCTAACATAAAACTGACTGATATTTTGTTTTAAAAAAAGTTTACTTAGAAGCCGAAAATAAACCTTCTATTCGATTTATGGGCCCTCTCTGATGTGGGGGCCGGGGCAACTGACCCGTATGCTCGCCTTAGTCAGGCTCTGATTACAAGGTCATAATTAATATCGAGTCAATATTCTCTAATGATCGAGTTAATATTTTTAATAAGATATTGCAAAAGGGAAGTTTCAAATCCTGTACTCGATTAGTAAATTTTCGAGGCGTTGATTTCATTGTAAATTGATGTGGTGTTTTGATAAATTCTTTTGGCAGTTATTGCTATTGATTTATGCATGGTTTCTAAATCTCCAATATTATTACGGCACACAAAATTTAAATCCTACATTTGATTAGATCTTTTTTGACACAGTGATACCAGTTTTATTGCCATGCTTGCAACTGCTATGCAGGAACAGTAGCTTCCAATTGCACTGCATAGTTGAAATCATCAAACACTACTGTATTGCCCGCTAGAGTTGACCGCACTCCATACTGAAGGTTCTTTTTCTGTTTCAAACTGTCACGGAAAAAAAATGGAAGAGAGAAGAAAAAAATAAGAGATGTTATAGAAATTAGCATATGTATAAAATGAATAAATCTGATTTATTCATTTCATTATTGTATGAATAGCAAATTAAACTTCAGTGCTGCCATTTATGAAAAATCACTTTAAGAATGATACTTGGATATTAACAAAAACCCATTATAGGAACAGTTCACGAAAATCATTAAAGTATAGTATTTAAATAGTTAGAGGATTCAAACAGGAGAAATAAAAACATTCATATTAGTAATATTTGTAGAACTTTTACTTACAAATGCAGAATCGGAATATTCTGCCTTTCCTTCTTTTGTAGGGTAAAGTTTCATATTTAAAATTCGATTTCTCAGGAACTATTCAATCAATTTTGCTCAAATTTTGTATTTTGCCATGTAAAATTAGGTACTTTAAAATGATGTAAAAAACTGTATACCTTACAATTCAAACAGTTTTTCAACTCTGATAAAATATAGTATAATAAATATTTGCTAAAATTTATTTATTCCATGGAATTATCCTAAGATAAACAAATTTTATAATTGAGTGCAAAAATGTTTCAATTAGCTTTAAAATATTGTACCAAAATACACCAAATATAAATTGAATATAAAGGGGTTCACACTATTAGGACAATATTTCCTAGATCGTGACTACCCCCTATATTTTGGGGGTAAGAAATCCAAATCTGGTAAAAAAAAAAGGGTTGTTCGTTCAGAGAATGTGCGGTTTTGTGTCTGATTTTGTAACTTAAAATATCGTTTGCACTATATAATTGGCATAGTTTAGCCCCCCTCCGAACCATTATGATGGAGTCCTAGAACGTGAAAAATTGAATCGGAAGTTATTCAGAGTTGTTCTTTAGCACAGTGTACATTAGATGATAATTTTTCTCAACATATGAGTGAAGCTTTTATTTTCTATTTAGGAACTTTGTTTGAGTATCATTCCTAAATTTGCCAACCTTATTGAGTATTCTGCCATGAAAAATGCATTGTTACCTAGAATTAAAAAACTTTGCAATGGAACAAGTTACCTTTCAGTAAGTTTTTACCTCTTTGTTTTACTAAATGTTGTTGCATGGATGTTAAAAAATGAATCCAATCTATATCTCAATCATTTAATAGCTTCCAGGAATAATATTAAATAATCTCTTAAACACTGATTACTAGTTAATCAGCAACATGTGTTATTTTGCCCCAAGCTAAGTGTTAAATGTCTATATTTCATATCTTACTCGCATCATGTAAAGTTTCTTGAGCCTGGTCTGAGTTTCAATATACAGTAAAACCTCGCTACAGCAATATTTTTGGGACCCAATAAATATATTGTTATATTAAGGGTTTACATACTTTGGGGACGCGATAAAAGTTTTTTAAATTTTAATATTATATGCAGAGGTGATTGTGTTCCAGATCTGAAAGTTAACCGCGATCCGAAAGTTTCCGGAAATCCAAAGTCCAGAAGTTTCGAGAAATCATCGATCACATTTATATAGAAAAATTCTTGTGTATTTTATTTAAAAATATTAGAACTAGAATTTATACTTGGCATCTCTTTCATTCGTTAATATTTTTTCTGGTAGAATAATAAAAGTGATTTGAGACAAAAGTAAACATATAAACAATTATTCATTGAAATTATGCTGCATATAATTTATTTAGAATTTCGTGTTTTGAAAATATCAATGATTTAAATTTATAAAGATATTAATTTTTTGAAATGCGTCGTTTATGATTTTACTCGAAATATTTTCAGGATGTTTGAGTTGGGCCCACAATCACTCCTGTGTATATGTATTAACTATAATATTAATTTGCAGATAGGTTAAATATTAAAAACAATTGAAGTAAAATAAGATTGCAAAAATACCTGAAAACCGTTTTTATTGAAAATAATCCGATATTTTTGCTTGTTTATTCATTCTTCTCAACCAACAAAATATGCGTTCCAAGAACAAAAATGATTTTCGTTTATGAGTGGTACTCCACCCACCCTCTATGGAAAAAATTCTCTTTCAGGTGATACTTGTGGTGACTCATTATCGTGAAAGGAATGAAACTGATGTTACATCTGTGACTTCTTAAAAAAGAATGAAAGCTCTTGAGGTAGTCAGCAGTGAGTCTTGTTAGAAAACAATAGAAAAATATGATAAAAAAAAGATTTTTTTGCATTATTTGAGAACTAATAATAAGTGGAGAAAATGAGGTTGAAATTTGAACAAAAAATCGTTTTAAAGGGGTTTATTGCGTCAGAGAATATCGCAATATTGAAAAAAGTATAACATGAATTCATATGATAGTTCGTCGAGGCCACGAAACATTATCGTAATAGAAAGCGTTGTTGTGGTATCGGATATTGTAGTAGCGAGAGTTCACTGTATATCCAATATTAATGTTTCTTTGTATTTGTAATACAGTCGTCACTCCATATAACGACTCTTAACCAGACCATGCAAGTAAAGCTTTTGAAAAATAAAATTATTATTGATATAAATACAAAATCTGCTAAATATATTTTAGCAATATTCAAATAGTGTGTATAATAAGCCCATTAGTATAAAAAATTATTAGAACTAAGCAACTTATTACTTATTGTAATTTTTGATTTGTTGATAATTTACTAATATAGCAAGTTTTTTTTTTAAGTCTGGATAATTATTGTTTTTATTAAAGTTTGCTACTTTTATGTTTATTTTAAACCAATTCTTAATTTTACGCTGGTAAGGAACTGTTTTAATCTTGATTCAGTTAGTTTTTTAAAAATATTCTTTAATATCTCGAATAAATTTCTCCAAAAAGTTGAGCAGAATAATAATACATTAATAAGTTTAAAAAATATAAAGCATCTGTAAATACTAAGTCATATTTAGTTTTATTTACAGTTCACTTAAGTTTTACTACAATCTTAATGTAATACTTAAGTAAACTATAATCTTAAATTTCTGACTGCCAACAACTTTTTGGAGTTGATTGTCAGATCGATAAGGATAGGCAACAACATAATCTTAATGTATACTTAATTTTTGTCAAAAAATTTCGATAGAAAACTTAAAATCTTTTGCTTTAAATGCCCATTATCAGTTATTTTAAAATACAGAAGAAACATTTAAACAATGTTTGATGAATTCAAAATCATTGTTTTCAGGTTCGTGTAAATTGCTTAGTTTGTCTTGGAAAGTTATTAGAGCACCTAGATAAATGGTTAGTCCTGGATGAAATTTTGCCCTTTTTATCTCAGATACCATCCAAAGAACCAGCCGTTTTAATGGGAATGCTAGGTAAGTTCAAGAGATATTCTGCATTGATTTTTAAAACCTATCCAACCAATAATCCATGATTTATTTATTATTATATCGGTTATTTTTTATGAAATAGTTTATGTTTTTTCTGTCAAGGAAAAAAAATAGCCAAAATTTAAATATCTATACAGTGGCATATATAGGGTATGGCATGCCGTGGGTGCATTGTTGAAAAATGGGTGGCAAGTCAAGTAATTTTTTTTCTTTTATTGTTTATTTAATTATTATTATTATTACTATTATTAAAATTAAATAATATTAATTAATATTAAAAAATGAATTAATATTTCGCTTCTGTTTAGTTATGGTCATTGAGTAGTCCCACAACGAACTGATCGTAAAGCAACAATCGTCCCAGTAGAGCAACGAAGTCAAGCATCACTGGCTGCGGTTAGTAAGTGGGTGGGTGATCACTTTGATCAGCCTACGTAGGGACCGAGGGTGTGTGGTATGGGTCCTCGTTAAACTGTTCTACCACAAAGTGCTTGACTTAATGCGCAGGTCATCGGGCTACCAAAGCAGGGGAGCCACCCCCTCTTCAGCGGATCAAAATCGCGATGATATTCTTCAGAAAATCTTCAAGGATGTTTCCATGACCGTCGGCAGTAGCTCATTGTGCAGCTCTAGTGTGACGTAAATAAAGTACTTGCCTACCTATCTTGGCCATTGAGTAAATTATTTTTACTATTCCCTAACAAAAAAAAATTAAAATTAAAATTGACTGTAAAATGAACCCTTAAATGTTTTTCTTCAGGCAATCCTCTGTTTTCTCTTCCAACGCTGTTTGCTAAAATAATACGTAAGAATTTAAATGAACATTAAGGGGTCCAAACTTTTCACGGCTGTTCTGCTTGAACTATTGGGATTATATTCTCTGGATTACTGCTAACCCATATTTTGAATTTCAGAAATTTAAATCCATCAAAAAAAAAAGGACATGAATTCAAGAAATTATGTTATTACATCAGATTTCATTACTTGAAATATCATGTTCGTTCATACAACTAGCATATTTAAGGTTAAGCCATGGAAACATTAAGATTGAGTCCTAAGAATCGGAAGAAGAAAAAAATCTGATCATTAGATCAAGAGTTATTCAGGATGTTTACTTTTTTATTTTGCAGATTGTACAGATTTAGATAAATAGTAAAAACAAGCATTTTTTAGCAACAATTTTCAAATTTTTAATCACCAGTTTGATTCTTTGCAACACAATATTAACATTATGTAAATGTATAGCATTGTGTGCTATATTTTAAAAAATTAAGGAATGAAAGCTAGAGTCTTTCTTCTTTTATTTCCATTCAAGGAGAGTGCTATATAATTATCACAATTAATGTTTTTTTTCTAATGACTAATGTTTTTTTCCAATGATTAACAAATGTACCGAAATAGACAATTTAATTGTTACGCTTTAATTGTACGTGTCATACTTGGTTGTAATTATTTGTATTTAGCTCTTTAATTTATTTATAGTATCGTGGGAGTTTTATTTGACTAGCTCAGAATAAATATATTCGGAAGTTTTTTAAATTTCATTACTTTGCTGTTAGTAAAAATGGTATTTTTTTTTTAAATAACAGCTTCCTTTAGTTTAATATCTAACAATAAGTGATATTTATTTATAAATTGTGTTATTGTACTTTTTTTTCTAAATAAAACTTAGAGCAACTATAACATGTTTGAAATAACTGTGCTTCATTCATTTGGTTAAGCTGTCTATACTTTTATTCCATCTGATATTATTGTGAATGACATAAGTATTTTGTAATGACTTTATATTTTATAACATGTTTGAAATAACTGTGCTTCATTCATTTGGTTAAGTTGTCTATACTTTTATTCCATCTGATATTATTGTGAATGACATAAGTATTTTGTAATGACTTTATATTTTGAATCTACGCCAGATTATTAAAATTGGAATTGTTATAGTATTTTGCAAATTTTCGATTGTACATTCTTTTACTATGTAGTCAAAATAATTCGATTTTTCAGATCATGCTTTTAGTTTGCATTTAAAAAAATTTAAAATATAATACTTTTTAAAAGGGTGCTCATTCAAGATTTACCACAGGTACTGTTTCCTATAGATAGGTGTACATAATCTAAGCACCCCCCCCCCCATTAAAATGGCTATTTCATGATATAGGTCCAATGTTATTTTAACACCAATTAAAAGGTGTTCATTCTAAGATAAGTGACTGAAATTTTTTTCTCATAAAATTACTCCAGAAAGAGGCTTGTGCATTTTCAAAACTAACATTTCTCCATTGATAACAAAAGTCTTGATTCTTTTAATAAACCTTTTATGAATTCTCTATGAATGGAGATAGGACTTGAGTGCGTATCACCCGCTTAAAGGAATGGATAATTTAATACGTTCTCTGTTTAAATGGATATTTGTTAGTCCCCACCTAATGGCATAAAGAAGAGGTAATGGAATGGGTTGATTTTTGAGAAATGTTTCACCAGTTAGTTAAGATAAAATAGTTGGTCACTTGAATAGGGACTTCCTGTTCATTAATTAGTCTAAACAGGTGTTAAGGGTTAAGTTGAAAAATGCATCAAATCTTGCTGCTAGTTATACATTGAAGTAAGCAAAGGGGTTTTTACCCCTCTTTGACTTACTTCATACACACATAATTTAGAATGAAAAAAAAATGGATAGAAGGATTTGTCTTGTGGTCCCTTCTTGATGCACTATTAGTTTTGATAAGAAAAAGTTATTAAAACCTAACACACTAGTGTACAGTGTGTCTTTCTTTTAAGTAGAATAATCATTGCTTAATCCAGTGAATAACTATCTGAGTTGGTTGCAAGTTGAGCGTGAAAAGGATAGATTTGAATTAATCAGAAGAGAAAAAAAAAAAGATGAATCATGGAAGCAATGAATTTCGAAAAATCCCAAAATAAAATATCGCATTAATTTTCAAATTTCGAGGATTAGAAAAAAAAAATTCTCAATGTATTTAAATATATGCAAGTCATGAAAGTCTTTGTGGAAACTAAAAGGGAAAATCTAAGTTTGATAAACTGACGAATTAAACGGGTATAAAATTAGTCTTCAGTTATAGATTTTTTTCGGAAGGGATCAAATAATATTTGAGTGCCTATATTATACTTTTCACTAACATTGATTTATTTTTATGTCACTTTAAATGACATTTATATTTCATGATACTAACACAGACAGTTTTAATTATAATTGTTTCTTGATCATAAAACTGAGTTTATTTAATCAAAAAAGCGAAACTATGCATTAAATACCATTAAAAGGTAAATGTATTTACTATTGAATATTGCACTCCCTTTTTAATTGAATAATCCGCTTAATTGCATAGATTTGACTGGAAACGATGGTATTCCTTTAAGCGAGGTTGACTGTACCACGATTTTTAATCTATGAGGTCTTGGGCATTATCAAAAAGATTGTGAAATATCGATTACTTACCATTATTGATATGTATATTGCAATTGGAAATTGGAGTTTCCTTTACAATCATAAGTGTTCAATATTTCTTTTCAAAGGGTACAATGTATTCATCATTCTGTATTCACTTTTTTGTGAAGTATTTGAAGTATTTTATGAAGCAGTTTATTTTGGAGTTAAAACGTGCATTATTCACATTCTTCTTGATTTTAGTGTTGCTCTGTTCTCTGGTTACTTAGCAAAAATGGATGTTCCTAACAAGTGAGTTGCTATATGCTTAGAGCAGAAATGAAATCTTTTAAAGGAGTTGAATAGAAGAATAATATCAAAATCACAAATTGTTAAATTATTCCAAATTCTGAGATGCCCTATGTTTACAATAATCGAAAATCATAATGTAAAAGGCAACAATATTTCAAAATCTAGAAAAAGTACTAAATGACTGGCTGAAGTTTATGCACAGTATTAAAAGATGTCATTTGAAAAAATTTAAGCATATTTTTAACCTGTAATGTGCTATATTAAGTAATACTTGCACTTTATTGACTTGAAAAAAAATTTACATTTTAGTTAATTTCATAATTCTATTTAACATGTAACATGTTTTTGCCAAAATAAATCCAGTACTTATGAAATGTAAGTAAATATTTTCTCTAATTTTATGCAATCGCGATATAGCATCAACGCTTTGTAACATTCATTTTCGTTTGGAGCCGTTATATTAAGGGTTGATTGTTTTCTAATAACAACATATTGATTTAATTATGAAAACTATATAAATTTACAAATAATTGCATTAGTATTTCTCATGGGATTTTTTAAATTTAAAATGAAATAACCAAACTCAAGAATAAAGAATTATGTTTCTGTGGTAACCATTCTCACAGTTTATTGCAGTAAAATCATTAATCCAGTTTATTTAATTCACTTTTAACTACAAAACCTATGAATTCACCTGTCTGACATAAAATCTAATTTTGTGACTGTTTTTCATAAAATAATGACCAAATTTTATTCTTAACATTAAATGCTTCCAAATTAATCTGTTGTCTTTTTAGGTCAGTATATTCACAGCTGCTAATGAACTTTATAAAGTTGGGATACTTTTTGAAGTTCATTAGCAATTTTGTGTGATACAATGAAAAGGGTTAATGTTGTTCTTTACTTAGTGTCGTCTGAAAGATTAAGAATTGAAGAAATTTTTCAATAGTTTTAAAAATGGAATCAAAAGTAAAATATTGAAAATACTTTGTAGCTCGGTTAAAAGGAAAACTCTGACGTATTGCAAATAAATGTGGCCAATTGAAATTAAGTTTCAATTTAAATATGTTCAATGCATCAAATTTTTTTACAGGGATTTTAAAGATTACTATGTCTCATAAGAAACTTGGAATTACTAAGGAAATCATGGCCTCTAAAATAATACCTTTTCTGATGCCTTTGTCCATAGAGAATGGGTTGACATTAAATCAGGTATAGGTTTTTTTAGTTATTTCTTTATGCAGAAATATTTTTTCTCATAATACAGTCGGATCTAAATGGATATCAAAACATGGGGATTTCTTAAGAAATTTGTTTTGTTTAGATTGGGTTTTCTTTTTTATGAACTTTTTTCTTGCTAACCTCCTGCAGTGTCAGATTTCCTGATGTTTGTTGATTTGCATTTCTTGTATGTTCCCTGTAAATCGTAAGTGGTTTGTTTTTAATGTAACTTTTTGTAGCTTTTGCTATTATTTACATCATTTTTATTATTCTTATATGCATTCATTTATTCAACAGACATAATGATCAGTTGGATTTTTTTTCCTTTGCCTTATCACTCCAGTGACCTGACATTATTAACTTTATTAAGCGGCAAAGAATAAAATGAGCAGGCCGTGCTATCAGAATGGACGAAGACCTTACCACGAAAAGAGTTTTCAATGCCAGACCAGTTGGCGCACGAAAAAGAGGCAGGCCAAATTTGAGATGGATAGATGGCCTAGAAAAAGACTTTTTGGTCTTAAAAACTGGAAAACACTGGCAGGGAAATGGTTAGTCTGTAAAGAAACTTCTTGAGAAGGCCCACCCTGGGCTGTTGAGCCATGGATGTGTGAGAGAAGGTGATTTTACTGAGTCGAAAGGGTAACCAGGAAACTGTGCTACAATGTTTGAGTTAAATCCGCTACCTCTTTCTCTCTTTTGGTTTCTGATTAGGGTTGGCATAATTTTTTTTAAAAATCATTTGTTTGAATCAATTGATTTTTTTTTAATAAATCAATAATTTGCATATTTTTCATTTTGAATAATTTATAAATATATTAAAGTTGTGTTTTCTTTAATGTATGTTTTCATTGATATTGAAAGTTTTATTTAGAGAAATTCTGTTAGAGGGTAATGCATATAAATCATTTTTTGGTGTTCTAAGACTAAACTTTGAAAAAACGCTGAAATGTGAATGAAAGTGGTGAGAAACTTTTATAACACTTAACCAAAGGCGCCGGCAGAATAATATAAAAGGGGGTGCAACCCTCTAACAAAATATATATATATATATATATATATATAAGTTCATAACGAAGAATAAAACAAAGAAAAATAATAGACATATNTATACCTGCCTGGGCTACACAGCAAGACGCCATAACAATATATATATATATATATTCATTCTGTTATAAATTTTTTTTTGTTATTACATATACTTTATACTTTCATTTGTTAAATTTTTTCAAGATACATTTCTTCATTGTTATCAAGATATTTAAAAAAAAAAGTACGAATTTCNTAAGTTCATAACGAAGAATAAAACAAAGAAAAATAATAGACATATGAAAAAGGGGGGGAAATAATAAGTAAAAAATAACAAACAACAGTTTATTAAAAATAATAATAAATAAATAAATAAAAAAATTTAAAAAAAAGAAAAATCATGAAATGTAAATTAAACTTATATGAAATATAAGTTTACATTTCAATTATTATGAAACTAATATTATATATTTGATAAATATTATATATTATGAAACTTATTGTTTTTCTTAACTTTCTTCGTGTTTTCTTGTATTTATATATATACGTATTGCACCTGAAGCTGATCATTAAGTTATAAATCATTTTTAACAGATCTCTTTAACTGTAACTTATTACAGTATATTAACATTATTTACACAACAATAATAATTATAAGATGGTTAATAAGATTTGACGACTTTTCTAACTAACTTTATCCGAAAATGTAGCGCAGAATTACATTATAATAATAATAAAAAATGGAATTATTCTCTTAGTTTTACANTATTTTATTAAATGAAATTTAAAAATATAGTTTAGATATCTGTAAAGTTTGTGCATGCTCAGTGTGCATAAGAAAAGAATCAAAGATGACTCAAAATTCATTGAAAAAGTTATAAACAGATTTGGACCGCAAACAAGACGATTAAAATTCTTGTTTGATTAAACAATTTTTTAAATGTTATGTATCAATAATTACTTAATTACTTGCTTTTGAATGGATGGTGTTTTCAGTAGAAATGTAAATAATAACAATCTCGAGCTGTATGCCTGCTCTAGTTTCGGTTAGAAAGTTTGCAGCTGCTTACTACATGTTATTCTACGAGGCGATATTTTCAAATGGATAATTTTGTTTTCAATAAAAGAAATAAATTAGATAATTTCTGATCTCAAATCTGCCATATTTCATAAGATATTAATGTTATTATGTAATTCTGGGGAGTTTGGAGTGAAAATTTGTCTTAGTTATTTTGTTATTTATTATTTAAAAAGGTGATATGGTTGCTAGATTTTGAATAACTCGCTTTTTTGACAGTCTTAATATGGTCTCTTTCCATAAGTTTATTACTGTTTGTTCTTGTTGCAAGCTGTGCACCATCTTACATTAGTGTTAACATTTTTAGCATTGTAAACACTAGTAATAAGTAATCAAATGTTTGCAAGAATCTCAAAACACAATGATGCCAAATGGCTCTAAAATACAACGGAAGCACTAACCCGGAAATTTAGGCGGTACTGAGCTTGCAGCGTTTCTTAGTGTAGAAAACACCACCCATAAAAATATTTTTAATAAAATTTTTTTATAGCAAAATTATTTTTCTGTCTCTCTTTAATTGTTTAAAAAAAAGCCAGTGCAAGTGCACCTCCTTGCACCCCCCTGCCAGCGCCCTTGCACTTAACCAATAGGTTATGTGAAGTAATTTGATGTTAAATGAACATACTTCCTTGATGATAATTTAGTTTTATGTTATTTATTTTTTTAGTGATTAGTTTGTAATAATTATATAATTATTTTAACCTTTTCAGTAAGAAATATTAAGTAGTTTAGTTATACTGTTGTTCTTTTCAGTGTTAAGCATTATTAATATATTTTATCAGAATTTTGTATAGATGAAAAATAAAAATATCCATTTTTTAAATTTAAGAAAAGAGAAGAAAGAATTCTGATTTTTACCAAGTCTGCTTGTGATATTAAGACTTTTTACTTGCTTACTTATGTAAATGTAACTTAAGTTGGTTACTTCTTTCACTTTTTTTTTATTTAATTTTATATTTATGATACATTTTGCCATTTTTTTAAAAAATAAATTTAACTGACCATTACTCAATGTTTTTTATACTTTGAATACTTTGAATATATTGGAGTTATCAAAAATTAATTGTAAGTTATAATTGTCCACAACACGAGGAATTGTAACTATTAATATATTCTCTAGAGATTCTACAGTTCTACTTATAATATTTTAACTCTTAAAATTTTATTGTTTTTTTTCCTTGGATATTCTATAGTAGAACTTGCTTAGTAATCATGGTGGGTAGCATTTTTAAAAAGTGCTTATTTTTTATTTTAGTTTTTTAAAGCCTTTAAAAGTGCTTTTTTCATTGGCTGTTTTTAAAAAGTGCTTAATTTTCCCTTTTCCAAAATGAGATTTTTTTCTTTACCATGTCGATTTTTGCCATGGTATAGTGTGCTTTTTTATTAATGCAAAAGCATGCTTTTACATTGTTCTATCCAACATTTTCATAAGTAATTCAACAACAATCCATTTGGTCATACTGTCGGTCCATTGCGTATGAGAGCGCCAATCATTTTACATGTTAGATGAAGCACTTGCAAGTCTGCACATGCGTCTACTGAGCTGGGTTGGGTGAGATTATTGCCTTCTCATGTACAACTCTGCCGAATTTTGAAAGATACTCTCAATTTCAGGCTTCATTTTTCACTCTCTAATATAGAACCGAAAAATCTCTTGATGATTTTATATTGGCTAATATAATCAAGAAAAAGAGTTCTCTGTCAAAAACTAGTTATTTTATCATGATCATGTAAAGTCTTTGAAAATTTTGCATTTTGTTAATGTACATAGTGTTTAAAAAGTACTTAAAAGATGCTTATTTTTTGTTGAAAGATATGGCTATGTACCATGTTGTTTGTGATGTAATATTTTTTAATACTTCTTAAATTTTTAATAGTTTAATTCCATCATGGCCGTAATTAAAGAAATGGTAGCTTTCGTGGAATCAGAACATAAAACAAAGTTGGAGCAGCTGAATTCAATACGACAAGAACATAGGTAGTGATTTTTTTCAAATTTTTTGTTATTTTAAATTAAATTTATTTCTTGGTCCTGAATGATGTCAATGTTATGAACTTAAATGTTAAAGAATGAATGCAAAGAACTTAATGAATGTTAAAGAATAAAGTATCAATTCTTTTAAATTTAATACAGCCTTCTGAATTTTTGGTAGAAATAATGGTTAAAAATTATTGTTCATTGAAAAATAACTGATTTAAAATAATAATAATAATTATTATTCATATAAACCCAATTTTTTTTTAAAAAAATAAATTTTGATATTGAAGATTTTATTTTGAGAAATTATGCCAAAGTTATTATTTGATGCTTAAAATAGATAGATAAATTAAAAACAGAACAAATGTTGATAAAAGTGATGTAAAGCTTTACAATTATAATTTTTCATTAATTGTCTATAAAATAATTTGTGATTTGACATACATATTTGAACTATAGATATATAGTTTTGTGTTTGTTCAAATTACTTTTTAAACTGATTAAATATGTAGTTTGTGTTAAATAAATGGTGTAAATAATGAAAAAAGACTTGTTCAGAGTATTATAGAATAATTATTTGTTTTATGTTTCCTGATCTAAACTTCTTCACTTGAAATCTAACTGACATAAATTAGCTATTGTTTTTATTCATTCAGTGATTAGTTTGTGAGAAATGTAATTAAACAATAGTTTTAACCATTTTTGTTAGAAATATGAAGTATTTCAACTATAATGTCGTTTTCAGTTTTATTTATCTATCAAATTTATTTATCTATATTTATTTATCAAATTTATATTATCACATTTTAATTTATTGCTTAAGCATTAATAGTATGTTTTCAATCGTTTTATGTGTTCTTACACATGGATATAAATTTATATACCATACATGTTTCATGTTGTATACTTTATTTAAACTGAGATTTATAATTAAATTTTCTACCAACAAGAAATGTCTCAGCTTTGTAGTAACTTATTTAAAAAAAACTTAGTTCATACTAGAATCGTAATTTTGGATTTTAAAATAGTATGCATATAAATTGCGATATTGGATTTTAAAATCAGGAAAATACAAATCATTGATATTGGATCTCAGATCGCGAATACGAATCGCAATGCCTAGCTTTTAAAAAACATATAAAATATGAAAATAGATTTTTGAACTTACAAATGCGTAAATGTGAATCTCAATATTGGGTTTTAAAAACGTGTGAAAACGAATGTTTACATTGGATTTTAAACTCGTGGCAATACGAATCCTGATATTTATTTTATAAATGCATGAATACAAGTCTCAATATCAAATTTTGAAATTGTGTGAATATAAATTATAATATGCAATTTTTATATTAGTTGAATACGAAAATAGGCGTTTAAAATTAAAATGTCATGAATATGAATTGTGATATTAGTTGATTCCAACACAATTCCATCAATTCAAAAAATCGAAAATCTGCCAAACCAACGAAGTCAAATCAACAGATTTCTCTTATTCTTGGTGGTAGAATCATATGTATGTAAACATCTCGTTTACAAGATTTAACAAAACTTCAAAATTTGAGTTGTAGATTGATTAACTCAATCAGATTACAAGTTTTTGATTTGCAGAAGTCGTGAACCAATGGTCTTTACGAATGATACGAAAAGCCCAGAATTGAGGGGTAGACCAGACCTTTCATCAAAGCTTTGATTAATAAATATAAAATAATCCAAAAAAAAGAACCGATTTAAATAAAAAAAATCTTTTTTTCTTAGATCATAATTTTTCCCCACTTTGATTTAAATCTTTTTTTATTTTGAACATTTAATTACCTAGCTATAGCGCATTGATATGAAACGCAAGTTTTTGTAAATTCTACTGAAATTTTTATAAATAAAATTTGAATTCCAAAAATTCATCAAAAATATATTTCTGCAGCTGATTTTTAAAGAATGTTGGAAATGAAGAAAAAAATGANAAAAAAAAAAAAAATAAATAAATAAATAAAAAAAAAAAAAAAATGGTTTCAATTCTGTTTTAATATTAGTTTTTTTTCAATGTTATGAAAGCTTGAAAATTTATATGGATTCATTTTAGTTTGAAATAACTAAAATTTGTGTTCATAACCTTTTTTTAATCATAGTTCAACACTAGATATGGTGCAAGCTAACCAGAATCTTGACTTTTCAATTGGTGGTAACAAACCAAATGTAAGTTGTTATATATTTTAAAGTAGCCTATTTTAGTTAAACGCAAGTTATTGCAGTTTTGTCTTATCCCAATTCTCTCTGCAACATTTAATCAAGCATTTAATGCATACAAATTTCTGACTTAAAAGCAAAAAGATAATGAAATATTCAAACGTTTCCTTATTTTGCTCTCTTTGGTATCTACTTTATATTGCTTCAAATTTTATTAAGTAATTTTTTTGTTTCTCATTTGATTTCTTTTTTTTTATTACTGTTACTTAAAAGCAATGATTGGACTCCAATAATACAAATTTTGCTGTTCTCAAAATTTTTTTCAGAATTTTTAGTAAAAAAAAAAAAAAATATTATGAGCAAAATAGTTTTTTGGTATTACACTAAATTTTTTATCTAATTTTTTTGACTTAAAGATCAAAATGTAATACAGTGAACTCTCGCTACTGCGATATCCGATACAACAATGACTCTCTCTATTACAATAATGTTTCGTGGTCAACTTGCATATAAATTAATGTTATCCACCTCTCAATATTACGTTATTCCCTGAAGCAATAAAACCCCTGTGAAAAGATAGTTAATACATATATAATATTAAAAATAAAATCTTATTGTGTCCCCAAAGTATGTAGACCCTCGATATAACAATATATTCTTCTATAACACTATATTTATTGGGTCCCCAAAATATTGTTGTAGCGAGGTTGTATTTTGGTTTACTACCAGCTGGCTTCCTAATTAAGTGTGTTAAGTTTCAAATAATATAAGGTATGAGATTATGTATAAAAAAAATATCATGCCAATTTATAAGAATCAACTCATATTGCCTATGATTTTAAACTAACCTCTTGCATGTTGTCATTTTCTGCTATTGTACATGAAAATAATTAGGAACTTTTAAGAATATGGTTTGATAAAGAAAGGATTGCACTTTAAACTGAGTTCTATTGAAGGATACCAAAACGGCTTCCCTCATTATCCCGAGTTAACTAGGGTATGAATATATTGCAAACATTTATTATCCTGAGTAAACTCGGGGCATAGCAGAATTATTCAATATGTTTTGTTTTATCACGTTTTTTAGTTGACCGAAAGCAAAACATAAAATACTAATAATCTGCTGTGATTGGAAGTTTGCCAGTTTTTGTTTGAGAGTTATGCTATGTGTGGCCCTGCAGACGTATTTTGTACGACCGTCTATACGATGGTTGATGAATTTACAGAGAAAAAAGAGTGAAAAATAGCGTTTGCGAGCAAAACTGAAAGTAATGCAGTNATTTTAATTAATTTATGTTTTGTAGAACAAAAATAGAGAAAGTAAAAAGGTCATCAGTACTTTGTTAAAAAAGAAAGAACAAAAATAGCTTTAAACAAAGTAGATATATTCGCCCCTGATCAGCTAGTTAAAATTCTGTCAGCGGGCCGGATAAAATCTTCCGGCGGGCCACAGTTGGCCCGCGGGCCGTAGTTTCCCCATCCCTGGTCTATACGATGGTTGATGAATTTACATTGAAAAAAGAGTGAAAAATAGCGTTCGTGAGCAAAACTGAAAGTAATGCAGTTGATTACTTCAGATTATAAAGATGTGAAGATATACAAAGACTATTTAAATTTTTTCATTTGCCCGAGATAATTTGGGATGGTAAACTGGTGGTAAGTTAAATATTTTTTAAACAAAGAAAAATTAAAATTTCAACTTAGAATTTGTGTATTATGTTTTGTTTTAGCTCCTTGTATTTATTAATGAAATAAAAAAAAATATGTTGATTTTTTGCATATTTTAAAAAAAAAAAATTGGTAAGAGAAGTAGTTAATAATCAAGATGACATTTACTATATATATGTACACTATTTGGAAGAAAGTGACGGGACACGACACTATGACGACATAAACCCATATTTATTAAAATTAATCCTCCTTTGGCTGCGATCACAGCTGCTACCCTTCTGGGCATGCTTTCCACTAAATTAGCCGTAGTGGCAAGAGGAATTTCCTTCCAAATGTTTAACAGGAAGATCCATAGTTCATGCTTGCTTTTGGGGAGTGGAGTGCAGGCCCTCAACCGACGGTCCAATTCGTCCCAGAGATGTTCAATTGGGTTAAGATCAGGGCTCTGCGCCGGCCACTCCATGCGTTTAATATTGTTATTCACATACCAATCAAGAGTCCTCCTTGCAACATGGGATCTTGCGTTGTCGTCTTGATACAAGCAATCATCCATACCGTATGTTGCCCACAAGATAAGAGGGACATGATTGTCGAGAATATCACAGTATCCATTGGCATTCATCATACCATCAACCTTCACCAGTGGGCCAGCCCCATACCAGGCGAAACAGACCCATACCATCAGTCCTCCTCCACCAAACTTTACAGTTGTCCCGTCACTTTCTTCCAGATAGTGTATATTAGGTTCGCATTGTTTTTTTTTCAAACCATTTAAATCAAGACAAAAAAATTATTAAAGTTTTATATTTATCTAAAAGAATTCATGTCTGAAAATTAATTTGTATAGGAATAAATTAATTGAACTATCGTGGACTTCTATTTTTAACTATATCCATTTAGATTATTAGTTGCTTAAACAAAACTCAAAGAAGTAAGAAAAAAAATTGACTGATTATAAATCTTTTTTAGTGCTGATTGTTTTCAGATTGTGTCTGCTTCTATTTGTTCTGAAATCGGGACATTTTGTTTTCATTGCTATGAAACAATAATAAATATATTTTTCAATTTTGTAAGAAGAATCATTTGATGTAGAGGGTGGAAAAACTATTAAAAAAATGGTCCAAAAAGACTTAAACAATTTTTAGAAAAAACACCATGTCAATCACATAAAAAATTTACCAAACTTTAACGTGTAAGAATCGATATTTATTGTTTTTCCGTAATTGTGGCAAATGACATCTCATAAGAAAATGGGAAAGTATCAAATGCTTATGAATCACCCCATGAATATTTACTAACTGAAAAAAAATGTATTAAAACCAATGTTCATGTTCTTAAGTTATTAGATTACTTACAAAAAGTCTTCAATTTTATATGAGTTATTATAATCTGTTGACTTATTAGACTACATACACATAGACTTCAACTTAATAGAGATGTTCCCAAGAGTTGGAATTTTTTTTCTTCTAATGACGGGCACTTTGGGTTTATTTCTCATTGGACTCAAAATTGCTACTCTCTTATCGCTACCCATTTGGCACCTGTGTCTAAGACAGGGCCGTAGAGTAGCGTCGCCCACGTCATACAACCAAAAACCTGTTTATAAGGCGGGTTACATTCACACAACATAGAACACACAGAGAAAGTTAGATCCATATCTAACAGTGGGATTCGAACCCACAACCCGTAATACAGACTTCATCTTAGATGAATGATTCAATTCTGTTCTCAAGTTATTAGATTACATACAACAAAAACTTGGAATCCTAGAGAGGCATTCCCATTATCAGAATTATATCACCTGAATCTCATTACTTTTCATAACTCTAATGCATTTTCTTTGTTGCCTGTTTAATGAATGGGATTGCATTATTTCATTTGCTACTATTACAATGAACTCTTAGAGTTATCTGTGGTCTTATGACAGATATAGTTTGTCTAAAGTAAGAACTCCTCTAGATATTCGTCTGGACTATGGTAACAAGGTATAACTATTTCAAGTTGGGGTCACTCTTTAGGACAGGTTTTGGCTCGAGCGAGAGGTAATCTTTTTCTTCCATCTATTGTGTTAGCGGTAGAGTGAAGAGAAGCTACCCTCCCTAAAATGCGTTATTTTTGTTTAAGCAGCGGCAGATGGCCTTAAACTTTGTGGCAGGGGGTGTTCTTACTGTAGACAAACTATGCACAAGTTCTGTTAATAATTCTCACCATAACACAATCAAAAGAAATCTGTGGTGTTTATGCACTTTTTTAGAGTGGTTTTTAATGGTGCTTTTTGCCATTGATGAAAAGAAATAATTCATCATAGCAAAAAAAGGAAAGGAACAGTAGGCAAAATTTTATGCTAACTGAATCTCAATAGAATAAGTGTTTACTGCATTTTATAGTTATAAGTTTTTTTCTGAGTGAGTTTTTGTTCATCATGGATTATGTCCTAAAGCCAGACTATTCTTGATCTTAAAACAGATAATTTGACTCAGATACTGGAACATAGTGCATAGCGTTTTTAAAAAGTGCTTAAAGGTGCTTCATTTTGATTTTTGTTTTTTAAAAACCCTTAAAAGTGCTTTTTTCATGGGGTGTTTTTAGAAAGTGCTTAATTTTCCTTTTTCGAAAATGAGTTTTTTTCTTAACTATAAAATTTTTGCCACGTATTAAGCAAAAATATGCTTTGCACATTGTTCTATTCAGCGTTTTCGCAATTCAACCACAATCCATTTCAGCTTAACATCACCCCCATAGCGTATGAAAGTGTCAATCATTTTACTGGTTTGCTGAGCTGGGTTCGGTGAGTTTATTGCACTCTCGTGTGCAACTCTGCTGCACATTTTGCAAGATATTCTCAATTTCAAGCTTCATTTTCCACCCTCTGATATCGAACCGAAAAATCTCTCGATCATTTTATAATGGCTAATATAATCAAGAAAAGAGTTCTTTGTCAGAAACTGGTTATTTTATCATGATCATGTCAAGTCTTTGAAAATTATTTTGCATTTTGTTAATGTACATAGTGCTTAAAAAATTTTTTTGAGTGCTTAAAAAATACTTAAAATGTGCTTATTTTTTGTTGAAAGATTTGGCTTTTGATAATGATAACTCTATTTCAATTTTATAACTCTATTTAACTTGATTCAAAGATATATTTGTTGGTACTAGAGCTAATTAACTTTGCTTTATATTTAGATTGATGATATGTTTAATATTGGTTTGACCACAAATGATTCTTATTCCAAGAATGATGTGAAATCAGTGCAAAAATCTTCGAATGTTCTTAGCAATCCAACTCAGAATGATAAGATGTTTGAAAAGGTATAATCTCAATTTAATTCATAAGAATTGTTAACAAATTAGATTTTGCCATGTATATGACTTTTGTTATTTAAATTACTTCCTTCAAATTCATTGTTTTTTATGTAAAAAATTTTACAGTCTGACATCTATTTAACAAACTTCCATTTTGCGAATTTCTCTCCTTTGCCAATTTTTTCAAGGAACCAAGAACATTTTGGAAATTTCTTAGTAAAATAGCTTCTAAATAGCGAAGTGAATTTTCTATTCGAACAAACTTTTCTGTAAGATCCTATTTTCTAAAATATTTCAGAACATTTCAAACTTTTATAATGCATTTTATGGGAGAAATGACTTTAAATTAATTTTCGAAGCCACTGCCTTATGTAATGCTTTACTACTTTCTCTAAAAGTTATTTTAGAGAAAGCAGTAAAATCCCTTTCCCTTTTTGTTTGCATTTCAAACAAAAAAACTCAGACCAAATTAACGGATTTTATCAGTAGCAATTAAACGTAATAATGCATGTGGTAATGTATGTTTAAAATTACTTTTATCATAAATGCAGCTATAATTTTATGCATAAATATAGCTTTTTTCAAAGTTGAAAATGTACATAGCATGATAGTGCAACTCTGGATAATGTTTTACTCAATTCTTGCTTTCTATACAGATTTCTTTTATAGTTTAGATTTATAAAATAAATAGTAGATACTGTTTTACAAAGGTGTAACCATTGTTATTTTAATTATGTCTAGTGACTATAAATTTAAAACCTGTTTTGTGTTATTTAAGTATTTCAAAAGGTGATTTTCTATGTAACGAATTTTCCTTATAACGAACTTATTATCAGGATTAAGCAACTTCGTTAATTACAGGTCCGACTTTACTTGCTTGCTGAATATTCATTCTTTGTACTTGCAAAAGAAAGCAATAAGCGCTAAATTGGTATTAATCAACACCAGAAATTAACGTATAACACTAAAAGGATTAAACTAACATAATAAATAAAGCCAAAATAATTCCATTTTTTTTGGCCTTCCTTGTGGCTTTATGTTATTAGATTAAGCAAAAAATGCCTATAAAAGTTCATTTACATATAACTTAACATATAACTAAAAGTTCATTTACATATAACTTAACATATAACTAAAAGTTCATTTACAGGATAACTTAAGAGTATTGATTTTGGTACAGAGATTATTAAGCTTGTCTGATAAATAAATACATTAAAGAACGTGTAATAAACTTATTTTTTGAATAAATAGTGCTATAAGCTTGCAAACATTAATTATGTTATTGCTTAAATATTTGAAAAAGCAGAATCTTTTTTTTCTTCCAACTGTAAAAAAGTTGTTTCTTTTTTAAGTCGCCTGAAAATTAATTCGTAACGTAGTAAAGAGATTTGAATAAAACGTTATATGCAACTAATGTCTAGTTTTATAAAAGCATGTTTCTGATAAAATTTGGTTTTGCATCTGCATTTTTTAAAATTTTATTTTTTAGTTCATTCATTCGATAATTGGTATAATTTCAATAATATACATAGGTATGCATAGATTTGGAATAACATATATATCAATTTCTTCAATATATGTTTTATAATTATTAAGCAATAACTACTTAAATGAAGTTATAAATTTTACAAAAGGTATTATATTTTCTTGAATAAAATTGTAATTTCATTGATGATAGTCTAAAATAGTGTTTTAATATTTCATGTGTTTCTACAAAGAGAATATGGTTGTCTAATATGGAGCTAACATTTTTAAACATCTTAAAATAAAATTTTTAATTATCTTGCTGAATGCATTTTGCTGAATTATCTTACTGACTATTTAGTTACATTTTTTTTTAAAAATCTTATTTTTTATGCTACTAGATAGATTATTTTTTCAATAATATACAGTAGAGAACCAATTATCCGGGATGCTCGGGACCACCGCTATCCCGGATGTCTGAATTTCCCGGTTTTCTGGATCTACCAAAAAGTGTTGTTAATCGATGTTTTATCGAACCCAAATTACAAGGAAAAAGTGTAATGCATAAAATAAGAGAAAAAAGAAAGGTACTCCTAACTTTAAAAAGAAAAAAAAATGGTAGAAAAATAACATTTAAAAGAATAAAAAAATTTGCAAGTTTAGACAAGAAAAACAAGATTAAAAAATACAAAATTCTCGTATTTATTTTTTAAAAATAATTACAATTCCTAAATTAATTAATATAAACAAAACCAATGGTTAAATAACGCAATATATTTCGTACCTAATTATACGGGGGAAACGATAAAATAAAAGGAAAACTTATCAATCTAAATAAAAACACTTGAAAATTATCGAACCGAAACGATAGTTAAAAAAGGCACTAGCATAAACATTGAAACCCGGAACAAGGCAAAATCAACGGAATTTAAAAAAACAAACCTAATGATAAAATTTATGAATAAAAAGAATTAATTTATTGAGTGCGAAATTTATCGTGAAAAGAAAAAAAAATCAAGCATAATGGAATCAGAAAAACATAACTGCAATCTACTTCATAAAATAATCCTATGTTTAAATTAATAAACAATTCTCCTTTNCCTTAGCTTGTCTCTGACCGTCAGCAGCGCGCCATTGCTCATGGGCAATTTTGCCATAGAGTTTGAAAATGGATGCCCTAAATAAGATGGAAGAAATTCCCAGTGCAGGTTCAGGGCCCCAGAAAATTGCATTAGAGCCCTCTCGTGCCTCTTCATCAGCTAGCTCATTTCTACCGATACCCATATGTCCAGGTACCCAATGCAAGGATACCTTGTTATGAGTGGATAAGTCACAGAGGACAGCGAAGCATTCCCCCACTATCAAAGAGGTGAATTTACACCTTGACAGTGATAGGAGAGCAGCCTGACTGTCAGAACAGATGCGGATGGTCGTATTTTGATATCCCTTGTCTAAGAATATCTTGCAGCACAAGATAATGGCATAGACCTCAGCCAGAAAAACAGTGGCATAATTTCCCAAGGGAAAGTGAAGTTTGGTACCATCATTGGAGCAATAGATCCCTGCTCCTGGTTTAGCACCAATCTTTGAACCATCAGTGTACCATAATAGACATTTGCCTTTAAGCCACCGAGGAGAATTAAACCATTCTTCTCTAATAGGAAAATGGATCTTAAAGGGCTTGTGAAAAGCGTATTTTAGTGACATGTAGTCACTAGGCATGATAAAAGAGGGTATATCCATCACTTGTGAGACAAGATGTCCCCATGACAAGTGTTTGGAATACTCTTTCCATAGGCCAAGGTGCTACACAGACCATTCTTTGTAGTCTATTAAGATTAGACCTTGAAGAGCTCAATCTAGTCCTCGACCACCAGACGATTGCACCATAAGTGATGATAGGACTGATAATCATTGAGTATATCCAGTAAACTATTTTGGGGGATAATCCCCAGGTTCTATCAATAGCATTTCTGCAAGACCAGAAAATCTTCCTGGCCCTGCTGGTACAGTATTCAAGATGATAACCCCAATTTAGTTTGGAGTCAAAATAAACCCCTAGAAACTTGACTTTCTCCGTGAGTTCCAATTTATGGTCCAGGTAGTACACATTACCTAGGCCAAGTTGCCTTTTACGTGTGAAGGCTGCATGGCTTATCTTGGATGGGTATCTGATAGGCCTGAGTCAGAGCACCATCTAGCTACTTCTAGAAGTGCATTATTCATGATATCAGAGATTGTTTTACCATGTTTGCCTCTGACAGCAATAACACCGTCATCAACGTACCCGATATAGGAAATGCCAAGATCAGTTAACCAAACTAACAAGGAGTCCATTACCATACACCATAGGATAGGGGACAAAACCCCTCCCTGGGGCCACCTTGCTGTTGCATGCACTTTCATGCTTGCAGTAAAGATGAACAAACATACCTAGAGGATAGCAAGTTAGCTATCCACCTGGTAATTGTTGAGTTTATGCCTCTGTTCTTAAATGATGATAGTCTCAAGAAGGACTTTATCAAATGCACCTTCAATATCAATGAATACCGTAAGAGCAATCTCCTTATCTGTGATTGATTTCTCAAGCAGGTAGGAGAGCTCGTATAGTGCGGTGTCCGTTGACTTGCCAGGTTGATAGGCATGCTGTGACTTAGGCATGTGATAGGCATGCTGTAAATTAGCTTTTCGATAGCTTTCAACAGACAGGAAGTGCAGCTGATTGGTCTGAAAGATTTAGCCTCAAAGTAATTTTCCTTACCTGGTTATGATATGAAAACTACCCTGGTATTCCTCCAAGAGTGAGGTATATACCCAAATGCTATACAGGATCGAAAAATCCTGCATAGAGTATATTAACCCCCTGAATAAGCATCATTGGTATGATATCATCCATACCTGGTGACTTGTAAGCCTTAAACGACTTTATTGCCCATACAACCTTCTCATAGGAAACCACCATCTTAGCGGCCTCTCAGTCATTCCTACTGCAGGTAGTTGTGGGAATTATAAGTAGATGTTCGTTCTCTACAGGATGAGATCCACGGAAGTGTGCTTCGAGTAGTTCTTCAAGAGCCTCTTCACCTGATTCACTGTATCTTCCGTTTGTAAGACAGATGGCATTTAAATTGCAATTAAAATCTTTAGTAAGAATTTTTGCAATCTTTGCAGTGGCAGAAGTAGTGTTAATACCATATCAGAAAGTCTGCCTAGAGCGACGTTTAAATGGTCTGATAGCCTTATTATAGGCAGTTAGAGCGTTGCTATAGGACTGCCATTCTCCAGATTTCTTTGCTCTGTTAAATGACTTACTACATTTCTTACGTAATTTACTAAGCTCAGAAGACCACCAAGGAACTCGCCTTGGGGAACTAGTAGACATAATACTACATGAAATATGATATGAATCGAGCATGATCTGTTGCACTTGGTCAACAGTCCACTCCACATTATTAACATTATTGTACTTACCAGGGAAGCTCCATCCGGACGATGGCAATCTTGATTGACTTTGCAGCACATGCAATGTGCCAATTCCTGTATGAATTGGCACATTGGGTGAGGGCCTTGCATCAGAAGACCTAGGTCTCTTAGCTTCGCTTCTCGCTTCAATGGCCCTCAATTTCCTAAGCTTTTTCTTCTGGCGTTTGGACAATCCAGTGGCGCCAGACACACTGTCCCCCGAGTGCTTGTGGGGACCAGAGACTCCTACAGAGGAGGGGCCTGCGCCTCTGGACTCCTCACCGGCTTTCAAAGTAGACTGCAAAGCAGTGGTATTAACACTGGGCTCACCCGAGGGCTTACCGTGTGATACTGGAGACTGTAAAAAAAATTTAAAAAAAAAATAATAATAATTTTTTTAAAATTTCTGGATCCGCCCCTGTATAGAGTTTTATATTCACGTGATTTAAAAGCCTCATCTTGGGATTCATATTCTCTCAATTTAAAATCATGCATGTGATTCATATTCATACAATTTTAAAATTAATCATCGGGATTTATAATCACATGGCTTACAACTTCAAAAATTGCACTTTTTTTTGTCAAATTTGGATGTATATATATANAAACCCCGCTATAGTGAACATGGTTTATAGTGAACTCCCGGATATAGTGAACGAAATGTTCGGTGCCGTGCCTTGCTATACACGTATAATGTTATTTTTTGTGGATATAGTGAACCAAAAAAGTGAGGAAGTTGGATATAGTGAACTTTTTTCTGTCTTCGACTGATTTTTTAAAAATTTTTTTTGTAATAATTCAAATTAAGTGCATATACCGATTTTCAAAACCATCTCTAGAGGGGAATGTAGCTATAAGCATTTTTTCGTTTTTGCTCCTTTCTCTTAATTTCCCATCCTTAAACATCCCAAGCAGACGATGCACCTGTAAGGTGTCAGCGTAATCAATATGCATTTTTTTCAGAGGAAATGAGTAATTATTTATTATTGGTCAAAGAGTTGGACACTAATGTGTGTTGATAAGGCCCTCATTTCAACTCCTTTTTGCTCTCAGTTCAGTTAAATTAAATCCTGCAGACAAGAGTCTCAAATTTAACTATGGCTAGCAGTAAACGTAAAAGGTTCTCCACTGATGATAAAATAGGCATAATCAGAAAAATTGAAAATGGATACAATCAAGCTGATATTTGCAGGGAATATAAACTATCCAAATCTGCAGTTTGTAACCTATGGAAAAATAGGCCATTAATAATTTCTGCTCATGAAAAAAATTTAGATGGTGGAAAAAAGTTGAGAAAAGCAGATCACTAGGATAATGAAGAAACATTGCTGAAGTGGTTCACCAATCGAAGAAGCCGCAATCTTCCAGTATCTGGCAAATGTCGATGAATTTGCTAAGCGATTTTATGAGACTACTTTTATGTGCTCGAATGGCAGGTTAGACAGGTTTAAAAACCGGAATAATAGAAAATCAGGAAAAATTATCTGAGAGTCGGGAAGTGTTTCCATATCTGTTGTTGAGGATTGCTCATCAGCTAAAGATTACTAATTTTTTCATACGCAAGACGAAGAGTAATGAAAAATAGCACATTTTTGGCGCTACATAATATTTTTCAGTCAATTATTTGAATAATGTGTAATAAAAGGGAGGAGTTAAGAAACCATTAGTTATATTGCCTGCGTAACGGATATAGTGAACTCCCGGTTATAGTGAACCGACACTTCGGTCCCTTGAAGGTTCACTATAGCGGGGTTTGACTGCATATTCATTCTTGAATTTCCTCCTTTTTACTTTCTGACTACTCGCTTCCCTGAGTTACCCAGTGAGAGGTATCCAGAGGGGGCAACACGTGGAGGCGGCAGACATTACCCCCTTGATCTTAATACAGCTCTCCCGGTTTCTCACAAAACAGCTATGAATCCACTAGTGGTGCTCATTCATCGAATTCTATCGCAGCGGTAGTAGTATCTACCACTACAAAAATACAATTCCCTAGTATATAAGACACGATTCTATGCTGGGGTACCTTTTCATAGAGGAAGGTTGGCAACTCTCCCCACAGCTACTATGTACAATGAACTGGGGCTAATACTCCAGAGAGTGGCATATATCATTCTCATACTTTGTGAAAACCTATTCAGATTTTATTTTCTGTTTTATTTTGTAGCCATTTTCAATGTCATTTGAAGAGAAGAAGCAGATGACTTGGAACCAAGAGCAACACAGAAAGTGGAATAGTGGAGGAGATCTGGTACCTTTCCGTGATGCAACCACTTCCCTCATAGACTCCAACTTAAAATGCCTGACTACTTCAAAAGCATTAGATTCACTGTCGTCTCTACCTCTCAGCACGAGCTACATTCCTAATAATTGGGCACCACCTCAGCAACCTATGTCTCTTGTAACATCTCCGTCCCAACAGCACCAAAGCTCATCTAATTCCTTGGACAACCTTCTGCCAAGCATTGGTAGCAAATCTAACCTCACCTTATCTCAAATGAGTCAAGGGATAAGAGAGCTTCCTTCATCCCCTGTTTTATCTACTTTTAACAACTTTATTAAACCTGTCAATTCAGCCAAGAATGAATTGGAAGACCTTCTAGGTTGATGGCCTACCTGAGTTCTTGCAGACTCAAACATTCTTTTCATTGCAAGAGTATTTTTGAAAATTCCATGCATTCTTTTTTCATTGCAAAAGTGTTTGAAAATTCTATGCATTCTCTTTTCATTGCAAGAGTGTTTCAAAATTCTATACATTCTCTTTTCATCACAAGAGTATTTGAAAATTCTATGCATTCTCTTTTCATTGCAAAAGTGTTTCAAAATTCTATGCATCGAATTGAATGCACATTGTATAAATTGGACTATAATCATTGCTGCAGGGTGACCACAGAACAAGTCAGGAAATTTTATAGTTTTGGAAAAATCAGAGAATTTAATGGAACTGCCTAAAAGGCTAATATTTTTCCAAAAAAAAAATGTTCATGTAATCATTTTTTTAAAGCAAAATTTATTTATTTTTAAATCTAACAGCAAGTATTAGTGTTTTGTAATTTATAATAGATATATTAGATAATTATAATATTTATTATACAGTTGTAACTAAAAAATTAACGTATAGCTAACAATATAATATATTACTGGTTACAAAAATTAGAGAAAGTGGCTAAAATTAATCTGGTTAAGCAGTGGACTTATTATTTATGAATTCTTGTGGTCACCATTGTTTTAAAAATAGTATAAGTAGATACATTTGTTATATATATTTAAAAACATCGATTTGTTGGTGGATTTTTGTACAAATAAAACATTCCATGTTTACCTCTATAATGTTTCACCTATGTTGAGCTTTTATTTAATTTTTTAATGTATGTTGTACCTTTAAAGTCCTATTATAAAAGTGATTATTATAATGTTAAATCATTGAAAATATTCCTTTCCAAATATATTTTCTAGTCTTCATTCAATTTTTTTATCAGTCTTTGTGGTCACCCTGTCCTTTTCATTTTCTTTTGTCCTCTTGTATATATATATATATATATATATATTGTGCAAGCTATATAAAATAAGTTATCAAGTAGCAATGGAACCATTTGCTACTTGAAAGGGTTGCATAAGATTTAAATTTTCAGGAAAATCCATATTTTCTTTTAAAGTCTGTCACATCTTAGATGTGAAAAGAGTATGGAAACTTCTACCATTAATTTCAACTAGCCTGAGGGAAAAATAGACTGAAACTCTAATTTTGTTGTCAGTTGATTTCTCAATAACTTATATGGCGATCTTATTGAAATTTTGCTCACTTCTTTTAGATACAATTGACTGATTAAATGAGGAACTTTTTCCCCCTTTGTATTTAAATTATTTTACCAGTCAATGTATAGTCCTGATCATATTATTAGATGCACTCTAAGATTCTATGTAAAATCTAAATTACTCAGGTGATATTCTATACAGCTTTATTGTTTTTACGCGACTGTTTGCACTATTTTACGTTTGTGAATTTATTGCTTAAATTAGACGATACATTATAAAAATTTGGAATATTTATGATATCAAATATTATCCTAGTATATTATAACAAACTAAACTAAGTGGCGCGACAGCCCATAGAGGCCCAAGGCCCACTGTGCTCATCTCAGTTTTCTTGACCTTAGGCTCTGGGGTGCAGGAGCAGATGTTCCGGTCAGGTGGTCAGCCGAATGCGGAACCCCCAGTGTTTAGTTCCCAAGCATGCTCGGTACTCGATTATCNATATATATATATATTGTGCAAGCTATATAATATAAGTTATCAAGTAGCAATGGAATCATTTGCTACTTGAAAGGGTTGCATAAGATTTAAATTTTCTGGAAAATCCATATTTTCTTTTAAAGTCTGTCACATCTTAGATGTGAAAAGAGTATGGTTTTCCCAAGTGTTTACCAGTGAGTATGGTTTACCAGTGTTTAGTTCCCAAGCATGCTCGGTACTCGATTAACGACCCACTGAAGGAACCAACGGCCGAGTCAACCTTGCCCGGCCCGAGGATCGAACCCAGGACCTGTGGCACAGGAGCGTGGAGCGCTGGCTACCACTCAGCATCCGGGCGTCAGTATATTATAATAATTGTACCAAATTATGAGACGCACTTTAGTTTTTTAATAATGACATGTTTTGCGCGCTTTTATAGGCAATACTTTTATATTTAAACTTACATGTCATGTGTTTTTATTCAGGATATTTTTTACATACTTCCTATTTGTATTTATTTTTAACATATTGCATGCCAATGTTAACCGATTTATACGTCAACGTAAACAAGTACAAACCGGTTTCAGTTGTGTAAAAACAATAATGCTGAATAGCAGTATTTCCTAAAGTGTGGTACGCGTACCCTGAGGGGTACGGAGTAGTTTAGCAGGGAAACTCTTTCTCATACCAAATATCTTGCAACAAATGAAAATTTTAATACAAAAACAAAGATGGCCATGAAAATTTACGATTACATATTTTTCTTTTGGTTATTTTGAAATTCTTGGTACATGTTCACAAAATACATTCATTTAAAAAATACATAACTTAATACTCATAATTTAAGTTATTTAATTAATTAAATAATTAATTTGATTAATAATTAATTAATTTAAGTTTAAAATTATTTTCTTGTGTCTGAATATAAAATTTTTAGTTTTGCTTTTATAATAATAAATAAGCTTTTCTTTCTAAGATTTATTGAGATAATTAAACTAAGGTAGATGGACAATGTATATATTCTGATTTTTAAGATGGGTGACTAAAATAACTTCTTTTGCCTACAGCCTGTTTCTATTGATGAAATATTTACAGTTTGTACTGAATTTCTGTGATTAATCTTCTTGGGAACTGTATATTTTTTTATGATGTTGTTCATGTAATAATTTACGTACATTTAGGATACTGTGATAATAAATTACTTTTATTACATGAGCACTTGTGTTGTTTACCAGAAATTATTGAAACAATATTGTTTAAGAAACTTACTTATGTTCACCAAGAGTCAATTATAATGACTAAGTTCAACTGATAACTGGAAAAATCTAACACTAAACATACCATAACCGATCAAATGACCGTTTAAGAACTTTTGCTCATATTGTTTTTGCACACAGTTGACTTCATGTTTTTTTCTAGTACAGTTAATATTCTACAGTAGGGAACCGATTATCCGGAACGGTCGGGACCATCGCTATTCCGGATAACTGATTTTTCCGGTTTTCTGAATCGCTACAAAAAGCCGTTTTTTTTAATTGTTAAACCCAACTAAAAAGAAAAAAATTGGAAATAATCTTAAAAGTAAGAAAAAACGATGAAGCAATGCACTAATGATTACTTCCAAAATGATGGTAAGGTAAACATCTTTAAAAAAAGAAAAATCGTAAAATCTTATGAGGAAAAAAATTTTTTTTTTTAAGAATGGTGAGAAAATTCATCGAATTTCGTTCCGGTTTTTTGGTTTTCCGGTTTTCTGATTTCCGGATAACGGGTTCTGTACTGTATTATTTTTTGTTTCGAATAACCTATTTCTACCATAACCGGTCATTTGACTGGGAGAACAATTTATTGCTTTATAAGGTTATCAGAAATGACGATGTCATGCGTGTTGTATTCGATGAGTCGAACATTTCTGCAAAGAGTAGTGTGTTCAATCAGAATAACTGTGAATTCAAATTTCAAGAAAGTGCCTGACATTTCAGATTGGCATTTTTGTGTCAGTAACAAAAACTAAATGTTTTGGTAAGTAGCTTATATTTTATGTTGATAGCATTTCTAACTGACTGTTAGTTTTTACCCAGAAAAATGTCGAAACAATCAAGAGAGCACAAGTTCTTAGAAGAAATAATATTAATTATAAAAATAATTATAATTCTTATTCTAATAATTATTAAAATAATTATAAGAATTACAGAAATAATAATAATTGGAAGAAATATGTTTTCAGAAAATGTACAGTGGAAGCACCTTAATGTTAAAAAATTTGTTGAGCAATGTATTAAAAATTTTTATTCCTCGTGTTTGAAACTGGCATAAAAATTGGCAATATAAAATTTTATTTAATTATAATAAAGCTTTTTTTTTTTTAGTTTGCTTCCTTCCTAACATTCAATCAGCCAACATAAAAGTCTGTCTATGGTAGAAATAGGTATATACTAAGTGTTGGTATGTTTAGTGTTAATCAATATGGATAGTCTAATTAAGCGTAAGATCGAAATAATTAAAGAATAAATTTAGTTTTATTATTGATGGATTAGCTTCGTTGTAATTGATAAGCATTCTTCAAAATCATTCATCAAACAAGAATACTCTTTACATTTTCATCGACAGTCACAATTTATCTCGACTGAAAATTTATTTAACAAAAAGGGACACCGAGCAAATCAACAATATTTACATCATTAAATATAGTAAATTACAAAAGAGCTAGAAATCAAGTCAAAGAACTTAGTCAAAGAATTGCTTAAATATTCAAGTTTTAACTGTTATTCAAAATATTGATGCTTAGGTAAATTACTATTATAATTTTGAGTCTCGCATAGGCATTCAAGAAATATAAAAATAAACAAATACCATTAAGACCAATAGTAACCGACCTACCCCCGAAGGAGTTTGCGGATAAGGGTTTCACCCGTTTGCACGTGAACTAAACACTACAAAACTACAGAAAAGTAAAAGTACAAAATTAAAAAGATTGAAGCACATAGGAAGAATCCCAAAATCGAAAAAATAAAATAAAAATAAAGCAGTATAAAAATTAAAAGTGCTTAAAACATCAAAGTAGATAAAATCAACCGACAATAAAAGTGACAAAAATACAGGTAAAAACATATAAAAGTAAGGTCAGGTAAAACATCAAATGGTAAAATATGAAAAACCACATTAGAAACAAATAAGATTAATAGAATAATTAAAATAGTCGACTAAAAGTTCAAGTGTCTCCCTTTCAAGGCTAAGTGCCTCTAAGATTAAAAATGTTCTAAGGTAAACCAAAGTTTCACTAAAAGGATAAACACACAAAGATGACACCAGGTAGGACAGAGGGTGCTGAAGTTGACCAAGAGCAAGATTTCATTTCGAATGTCCTATGTATAATGAAGATGCCAGTTCAAGGGGAGAACTAAGTCATGGAAACGGTAAGTGCCGAGGTAAAATATTAAAAGCAGATATTTAAAACCAGAAAACCCAAAAGATTGACCCAAACAAATACCATTAAATCTGATAATATGTTTATGTAAATTCAATTATAAAATTCTATTCCTTATTCGGATTCCAACGAAGGCATGTCTTCTGATCATCCTCAGGGATGTTTCCCAGACAATAGCCCATTGTGCAGCTCTAGTGCGACGTAAATAAACAACCCTATCTAAACGTTCCAGATTACGACTACAGCCCACATATTTGAATTTACACAAAAAAGTAAGTTAATTCAGTAACGTAACTGATTTCGTAATTTAATTTAACGACTGCCTAAATTAATGAGCCTATTTAAAGTTATTCAGAGCGATTACTTTTGCGCACTACTCACAATTACATTCGTTTAGGATAAATACATAAAACCATTAACTGTTTTTGGCTACTTAAAAAAGATTTTATTATTTCTTAGAGGAAAATATTCTTGGAAAAAAAATAGCACACTTTTATTATTTCTTTTAGAGCGAAATTGCACACAAGTTTCAATAAGTGAACAAATATAAAATGTTACAATAAAATAAAAGTTTATTTTAAATTAGGATTTTTTATTTTACTTCCACAACAGATTTCTTCGGCCTAGTTGGGCCATTCCAAGAGGTCTCGGCTGATCCCATGTGGTGAAGCTAATTCTGTCGGGGTCACAAAGTCCTTTAAGTTCCCTTAACAAATCAGTATTTGGGGTACTGGATCGGAGATGTTCTGGTCCAGCTCAAATTTAAGATCTGAGGATGGTGTATGAATGTTTCCTCCCTTAGAAACGGGCTGTGACGTATGTGTGTGGTGAAATTTGAATTCTTGGTTATAAATGTGCCCTCTGCCTTAAAATAGGCTTGTAAGTATTGACAAGTGGCAAAAGATAACAACAGCAACGGATAAAAATTTGAATCAGAAGTTTGAGTTTAATGAAGAGATCCGTTCAAAAAATTGAGTTTCGTTAGCTTTTATGACTTCATTGAAAATAGAATTTTTTAAATGAATAAACATTTAATTCACGTGATGAAACGTTTGAGATAAATGAGTTCTAAGATTGAACTTTATAAAGCAGGACATAAACTATTGGGATCTTTATCTGAAGATATTAAAGTAAATAATGGAGTCAGACAGGGAGACTCCTTATCCTGTCTTCTTTTTAATGTTGCTCTAGAGAAAGTTATAAGAGATGCTGAAATCAATATCAGAGGCAACATATTTTCAAAATCTATTCAAATATTGGCGTATGCGGATGATTTAGACATCATTGCACGAACTGTTCCTGCATTAAAAGAAGCTTTCCTTTCTTTGGAGCTTGCTGCTAGGGATATGGGACTAATCATCAATACCGATAAGACCAAATACATGCCTGTACTTGCTAAATTAAATTCTAGTGAATCCTATCTGGAGATTGGTTCCCACAGGTTTCAGACTGTTCAGAATTTTACTTACCTTGGTTCAATTGTTACTGCCGACAATAACATAGACAATGAGATTCGGAGTCGTCTAATTTGTT